CAGATCATTTGATTCATTGAAAATAAAGTAGACAAAGATAACTTTTTAAAAAAAATGTATGTGTAAAGTAAGTTATCGCATGTCCATTCATTTTTCTTAAGCACATTTGATGTTAAGCTGAGTTTAATACGAGATCTGACGGTTAAACGATTCCTACAGATGTTCAAATACTGTAAGTATTTTTGGCCATGCTGAAATTATTAGCTTAATAATAAAAACATTTGAGCAAAATATAAAGAAATTAAGAATATGGAAGAAACAAGATACCCACATGTTATCATCTATGTGGAGAATCTGTATGTGTCGACAGAAACAATTTGATAAAGGGCCAAAGGAGTGAAAAAGTCTTGTGAATCCTCAATAGTGATGTCCACGTGACTAATCTCTGTCCCTTTTCTTCTGCGATTTTACTAATAAAATCGTTAATAATATTTCTAGAAGCACAACTTTTCTTTTTATATGTGTAGGTGCAATTAGTAGAATAAAAACTAACTAAAACAACACTAGACTAAGAGACATAATTTATACGTTTTGCTCACCAGAACCATGATTACACCTTATTAGTTGTTGTCTTGTCTCAAAGCTATTCTTTTGTCACATTTTGTAATGCTATATATATCTGCGAATCGTGTTTTTGTAGTGATAATTTGTTTCTAAAAATCGCAATTCGCTTTTGCGTCGTGTAATGACTGAGCTGAAACTCAACGTCCAATAGCCCTAAAAATGATTTGTGTATAGATGAAAACTGACCGTAACAAATTTATGATACAATTTTTTGTTTAATGATATTTTTAAGACATGTATATCCATTATATTGATTTTTGTACGAATAAAACTGTTGAGCAATGAGAAAAAATATATACATACACTTAGCTCTAAGAGCATCAGTAATGTTGAACTCAATAAATAGGTTTTCAAAATATTTTATTATTAAATAGAAAATAAAGTTGTGAGAGTCGATTCTTAAAACTCCTCTATCAGAGTCTATTCTTTGAAAAAGTTAACCCACCTCATTTTTTTCCTTTCTCTTTTTTTTTTCTTTTACATTTAAGAGCTTCACTAAATCTCTCTATTATTATTGATGCTCTAAGTATCTTGCACACAACTTAATCTAAATAATTTTTACTATAGCTCTTAGTTTGATTTCATCGTACGCAAATAGAACCTGTGGATCATTTTGAACGTCGAATCGGGTGTTAGACACGTGGAGAACCTGTAGAAAAGTTATTGCCATATGTTTCCTACAAAATCTGGATACCCTTTGATAAATTACAAAGAAAAAGTGTTGTAAGACCATAAATTCTTGGTTCTTGAAATTAAAGAAGAAAACAAAAATAGTGTTGAAAGTTTCACCAACTTCCCATAATACTTTCTCAGTTTTTAATTATATGTAGTTTTAAAATTTTGTTTTTGTTTTTAATTATAAAATATTTTCAGATTTCAATACAAAATTTAATGATAAATGACTATTTTTACTCTCACATTAATTAATTAATTAAAACTTAACCAACAATAAATAAAATTAAAATATATATATTATACTATATTTTTTAATTTGTGTGTAAAGTGTTAAAACATCTTATATAAAAAATGGAGAGAGTAATATATATAAACAGTAGAAAACTTATTTTTTATTATTTTATTTTTAGAAGTAAAAGTATTACATTTTTAAAATGATAAACTCTACCTAAATTACAATTTGTGAAACTTAAGAGGATAAAAAGGAACTACTAATTTAACTCAAAATTATATACATCATTCAAAGAGCCATAAACATCAAAATCTTAGTTCAACAATATCAAACCAACTCTATGGTCTGCATTAGTATTAATATCATTAGAAACATATAGAGATGTTTATATATACAGTAAAACCTCTATAAATTAATAATGTTGGGACCTCAAAAATTTATTAATTTATAGAGTTATTAATTAATCGATAAATTAATAATTATTAATTTATCAATAAATTAATATTTAATTAATTTATAGAGAGATATTTGAGTTTAAATTCAAAATATTTGTCAAAAAAAAAAAAATTCAATAATGTAAAATGTGTTCAGAAAATATCATATCAGTAAATTTAAAAAATAAGTCAAACAATTTTTATAAACTTGAAACAATAATATAAATATATTTTACTATATTATATTATTCATATATTTTTAAATATACAATTATTAATATATCTAATTATTGGGACTATATTTTTACATAGAAATTTCAAAAAAATTATTATCTTATTATCTTATCAAAATTTACTAATTTATAGTAATTATTAATTTATCGAGTATTAATTTATAAAGGTTCTACTGTATCAGAGTGTATATTTTTACACGGCTAAATATGCGTTTCAACAACTTTAACCTCACGGTTCGTTAAAAAAACCAACTTACGGTTACTTTGACTTTTACATAGAAAATAAATGTAAATTTGTTCTTTTCTCTAAAAAGGAAAATTAAAAATTAAATAGTCTCCACCATTCTAACCAACCTACTTTGAAAATTTTGTCTTGCACTAACGAAACCACGGAGCTGTATCGCATTTTCGCCGTCATTAATATATTATACCCATATAAATCTATTATATATATATATATATATATCTTTTTCGCTTGGTATGTTTATATACATTTTATTTATATAATGTTTTAACCTGTAACTACATGGATGAATTTTATTATTATTATTGATATATCTAAGCTAAATTAACTAAACCTCTATTTTGCTTACAGCCACATGCATAAGTCTAATTTTTATATTTTTATTTAACAATTTTGAGTCGTTGTGTGTATATATATAGTGGGTCGGTTAGATGCGCCATCATTTGTTTATCAATGGTGTATGTCTTTAATCTCTTTATAAAAGAAAATTATGGTGTGCTGAATATAAAGACATAAACAGATATAATTGTTGATACAGTCAGATTTACATATTTTGATTTTGTCTATCTAATCTTATGATATAGTTTGGTCAACAAAAAAAAACTTATGATATAGTTGATAATACTATACAGTAATAAGTACTTTTCTTATGGTTCGAGATTATACATAACGCTAGGTAGCTGTATCGAAAATTGTATTCGTATAAGAAAAGTTGTACAGAAAGAAATTTATAATCACTGACCTCTCTAAATCACTTAAAGTTATTGAAAAGTAATTCAAAAGTAGTAGCGTTAGATCATCTCATTATTACCTAATTACCATAGATATTTTTTGTCAACATGTTATGCGACTTTTATATATCCTATTGCATTTTAAACTAATTTCTTTTGGGGTACGGTAGTTTGAATGTGGAAGTCAAATTGAAACCGTTATTTCGGAATAATGTGCATCATATATCCACTTAAACATTTTATATTCTGTTTATTAGGTCAATTTTCTATTTTGTTAGGCCAATATGTATCGCTAAAGAAAGTATTTACTCTAATGTAATGTAGTTTATCGATTAGCGTGGTTATTTTATTCGTTAATCATCTGGTTCACGAGATATATTGTTAACTATTGTAATGACATTCTATTGATGATAGTCCGGACAAACATATATATAATTGCTAGTAATTTTTTTGGTACAGAACATTTCTAATTGTTAGTTATTTTTCAACAACGTTACAACTTACAGTTGTATGTAAATGGCACATTTGGCAAATACTATCTTACAATGGTCGTCGTGGGGTCCAAAAGTTTTGGTCAAAAGATAATATTTTTAGAATTGATACTTCATATTTCTCAAGTCGTATATTTGAAAACGATTAATCAAATTGCAAGAGAGATTACCTTCCATTTTCCAACGAGTTAGGCAGAGATAATTCTTAATTAGGAACAATATGGATATATTTGTTGAGTTTTGACCCTTTTAAGAAATGTGGTTTTTACAGCACACATAAGTTGTCGTTTTTTTTTTTTGGGGTAAAAATAAGCAAGTCGTCGTTTCGGTTGCACTGACTTGAATATTCTAAAAATATTTCATCGATGAATCCATTAGGTACCTAAGATACGTAACGTTGACCCTACTCTGACCGATTGTCGAGTTTTCTTATAAAAAAATAAACGTTTTTGACGTACTTTTTGGCAGTTATTTCATGGATATTTGCATTGGATGTCAATAAAAACAGCTTTACAACATACATAATTACATATTGTACACAGACGAATTTGCCATTTGTACAAACGAATTTTGAAATGTACAGTATATGTTATATTGTACTCTTTAATAGTTGTGAGTAAATGAAAGACCGAAAAAGTTATGTAAATTTCGACCACAAATTATATGCGACAATATCATCTTCTATATTGGTAAAAGAAGCAGAAACTTTTTGCGCATGGGACAATGAGGTAAGGCTAAAGTTTACAACTTCGACATGAACTTACATATTTTTATATGGTAGGTGTTGTTAATTAGGGATGGACAAAAGTTCTGCTGTCTCATATAGGAATATTGTTTTTCAGCTGGGACAAAGTTTTTAATTCTCTTACGAAGGAATATTCCTTATTTTCCATTTGGGATCAAAATCATTCATTATTTTTTAGCAAATTGGTATTACTAAAAAAAGGTATTGTTTAAAAATTGATATTATTTAAAATAATATTTTTTTGTCTAAATTGGTATTTTTTAAAATAAAATTGGTATTATTTCAATGTTGGTAGTTTTCAGAAATGGTATTATTTCTTTTTAAATCACATGATTTTAATTGCATATACATTCTTATTCATGCACCATATCTTTTCCATCCATTTTTACTCATGTTTCCCTCTCTGACAAATTTCAATTTTCTCTGAATTGATATTTTGGTATTATTTCAAAGTTGGTAATTTTCAGAAGTAATATTATTGCTTTTTAAATCTCATGGTTTTAATTGCATATAGATTCTTATTCATGCACCATATCTTTTCCATATAAATTCTTACAAATTTCAATTTTTTGGTTTAAGTGGTTTGGATTTCTGTTTGTCTATTACACCAATGTTGTTACTTACAGTTTTTATTATGTCATGAATGTATTAGCTGGAGTACATATATAATACCTTTTAAGTAAAATAATATGATATTTCTCTCTGTTTTTGGAAAATTATTTTTCTACTTAATATTTTTCTTAGAGAAAGATGAAAAGGTTAGGCAACAAAAAGTCACACCTGCAACATTAAGATGGTCTAGATCAATTACGTACGCACACACATTTAGATATGCTACATATACATATACGTATATATATATATATATACATTGTACCCCTCTCTGAATGTTGTTTCTGAAGGTTTATAAAGCTACTTAAGATTCTAATCCTATGATTACTGTGAGAACTAAAAAAGAATAATCAGTGAATTTTAGAGAAAGAGAGAAGAGAAAGAGAGAGAGAGAGAGAGATTACCTTCTTCATAGGAAAAGCCTTTCTTTCCTCTTCTGCATTCCTCAAATTTACCTTCCCAAGAAAACCCAACACAGAAGAAAATCAAAAAGGTTCTTAAATTTTCTTCAATGTCCTTAGTTTTTTTTGTTTTTAATCCATAATTCTTGTCTACATATAACATATACATACAAACGCGTATTTGAGTGTTTATATACGTATATCTGCCTTAACGATTGGTTTCTATGTCGGAAGTTTAGTGTATTGTGGCGAAGATGAAAGTCGAAGCTCCGAGAAAGAAGTCGGGTCGGGTCATCTTCCAAGTTCTTCTTCTGCATTTCCTTCTTCAAAGTGTTCATTCTCAGAAATCACAGTATGTTTTCTCCAAACCCAAAAACTCTGTTTTTGCACCCGAACCGGGTCGGGTCGGGTCAGGTTTTTTTTCTTTGTCACCTCTTTTACTGTTTTTCTTTTAATGCGAAATTTGGTTTCACAAGCATTCAATTTCCAAGCTCACATGTTGAACTTACTATAACAGAGGTACTTAATTTTATTCATCAGAAACTGGTGTTTTTGTAATAATTTTTTTTTGTCGCTACTATTTTGTATTTTTTCATCTGTCTATTGTTTTTTTTCCCAATTAATTTGTTTTTCTGAATCATATATACTATTAAAATGGGTAAGGCTAAAAAGAATGTTTTTTAAAAACGAAACTTAAAAAAAGGTTTAGCCTTAGTTTTAGCCAATGCCCCTAATAAACAAACACAAAAGAGAAAGCAAAAGGTTTCCTTGATTATTCCGTATTTATGCATATAATTATTTTTGTTAGTTTCTTTGGTGTTGGTTTCCTTTGCTAATACAAATAATTAGAAAAACATTAATGAAGTTTCTTTGGTAATGACAATCCTTAACTACTTTCTTTAACGTAAAACATTGTACATATACTACACATACAAATCGTATAGTAACGTAATATATATAAAGACCAGAATCTAGAAGCCGAGATTGTCACGAGACGTGTGTTAAAAAATTATTAATAACGCGTTAAACGACAAAAAAAGAAACAAAGAATATCTGTTTTAAGGAATTTGTCTCACTAATCTTTCAAAGGTGGAATAAAATTTCTTTCAACCTTTGTTTCTTTTTAAATTTAATAACAAAAACCTTAGAAAATAGGAATAATATTGGATTACTTTTTCCTTTTCAGCTCTAAACCTACATGTCTTTTCTTTTCAAACTACTAGTCTTCGTCTCAGTTCTCACACATAAACTATTTTGTATGCATTTTTGTTCAAAATATATTTATTTATGTAATTAAATAGGAGTAATATATGTTCTTTATGCCTTTTCATACCATTGGAATTATTCTTTTCGTCTTCAACACTCTTCAACTAATGTTGACCGTTCATATTCCAGTGGAGTTCGTACCATACTATAACTACTATAGTTGAATTATTTTGAAAAAAAAAAAATCAATGTTTTGTTTTCAGATCAACGATTGAGTTTTCTGAACTACTTTAAATACGTCTAATAATAAGGTTGATATTGTTTTTTCTTAGTTAAAAATAATGAATCAAACAAAAAACATACTAATCCAAAAAATACTTACAGTCTCTAGGATTTGAACATTAACTTTATCTTTTTGGTATACAACTTTTTTTTATTACAGAAATAAACTTAACATCACAAAGCCTGGACAAAACATACCAACCCCAACAGTTCAGCTAAGGAGAGTTAGTCATGATAAGGTTAGAAATATTGAAATCTTCTTTTTTTAATTCGTTTTTTATTTTATAATATAATAAAAAATTTGTTGGTTTTCAGGTGGTAGTTGATAATGGTATTATTCAAGTAACTTTCTCGAGCCCACAAGGCTTGATAACTGGAATCAAATACAATGGCATCGATAACGTGTTGGACGACGATATTGACGATCGTGGGTAAGATCTTTTTTTAACAAAACTTTTTATACATTTAGAACATGTTGTATTGAAAAACTAAATGTTTACAACTTTTTATAAGTTATGCACATAACTATATAATAAAGTCTAATTGCATTTCTTGGATAAATTCTTATGGAAAATAGGTATTGGGACGTAGTCTGGCATGAACCGGGAAAGAAAGACCAAACTGATAAGTGAGTTTATTACAGCCATTTTTAGTAATAATGTACTTTTACGCTTTTGAGATATATATTTATTACACAAAGAATAATTTTATTCAAAGTATATATAACCATACATGATAGTTTTGATAACATATTTTCTAATGACAACTGTGATAATAGTTTGGTAAAATAACAATTTTCTCTTTTTAATTGTAGATTAGAAGGAACTAAATTCGAAATAATTACTCAGAACGAAGAACAAGTCGAAATTTCATTTACCAGGACGTGGACGATCTCGAAACGTGGCTCATTGGTCCCCCTAAACGTAGATAAAAGGTACGTATATATAGTTTATTGTTAATGATCTATTTATGTAGTTAAGTATATAATTATAATCGAATATGTAAATTATTTTGTTAAAGGTACATTATTCGAAGTGGTGTCTCCGGGATATACATGTACGGTGTATTGGAAAGGTTAGAAGGTTGGCCCGACGTAGACATGGACCAAATTAGGATCGTCTTCAAGCTCAACCCCCAAAAGTAACCATACGTCTTATTAGTTATGTTTATTATTCAAATATTTAGTGAAATTGTTTATGATTTGAATTTTATTTATATAAAAAAAAATCATTTGTTGTGGAGCAATTTTGCAGATTTGATTTTATGGCGATATCGGATGATCGACAAAGAAGCATGCCATCAATGGCAGATCGGGACAATGCTAAGCCATTAGCTTACAAAGAAGCTGTTCTTTTGACAAATCCAAGTAACCCTATGTTCAAAGGAGAGGTATATATGTATACCTACTTTATATATTATACATTGCATTAACATCATTCATTAACATTTTACCATGAATAAAACTAAAAGATTTTGATATAATATTAGAGATTTTTAAAAATAATATATACCAAATTTAAATCTAAAACAGTCTAAACTTTCGAAGATTTTTGTTTTTTCGCCGGGTTAGTTCTCTGGACATAGTTTTCAATAACAAAATAACAAAAAAATAACAAAATAGTTTTCCTCTTTTGTATTTTATCCCTGTATTCTATTTTAATATTTGATATTACTAAATAACAAAAACAAAAATTCTAAAACAGTCTAAACCGGTCGGTAATGGAATGGTTTATGTGTGTTCTTGATGCATTTCGATGAGTTTAATGAAAAGTATAAATAATAATTTTGGAACAATGGGGAATGTTCTGGTGTGACGCAGGTAGACGATAAGTATATGTACTCGATGGAAGACAAAGACAACAACGTTCATGGTTGGATCTCGTCGGACCCACCGGTTGGGTTTTGGATGATAACTCCAAGCGATGAGTTCCGTCTTGGTGGGCCCATCAAGCAAGACCTCACCTCTCACGCGGGACCCATCACTCTCTCCGTGAGTCCATTTACTTGAAATGTCTACATTAACCATAAATAATTACGTTTTGATTGCTACTTTTAATGTTTTAATTTCTGTTAATTACTAATCAGGAGACACTTGATTATTACAAGACTATGATTCATTCAATATTAATAAAAATGAAATATATTATAAGAGTCTAATTTATTTTCCCCATTTTGCTACATTATGATCCTTACAATAAAAATCTGTGAAAAACATGTAACTTTTCTTATTCCTATTTCAACATAATACAACTGAATTAGTTTATTTAAAATTGTTAACATTTTGTAGATGTTTACGAGCACTCATTACGCGGGAAAAGAGATGAGAATGGATTATAGAAACGGAGAGCCATGGAAGAAAGTTTTTGGACCTGTCTTGGCTTATCTCAACTCTGTCTCTCCCAAAGATTCCACTCTACGTCTATGGAGAGATGCTAAACGACAGGTTCTTTTGTCATTATTGTTATCTATAAATAAATAAATGATTATATATTCACATTTGCACCCAAAAAATGATTATACAGTTCCTAATATTTAATTAACTCCCTTTTCTTTCTAAAGACTTGCATTTATACATACATTTGTACTAATTAAATAGCGTTGTTGCAGATGGCTGCAGAGGTCAAAAGCTGGCCTTATGATTTTGTAAATTCAGAAGATTATCCTCTTTCTCATCAAAGAGGAACACTCCAAGGTCAATTCTATGTTAAAGACAGGTAAATAAAATATCCCGGTTTTTCTCTTTACAAATTTAGTAATTTTTTAAGATAATTACTATTAATGTATTAATCTTCTTTTCCTTTGGATTATATAATAATGTTGTAGTTACGTGTCAAGCTTAAGGATTTATGGAAAATATGCTTTTGTTGGTTTGGCACCAGTTGGTGAAGCAGGTTCATGGCAAACCGAATCCAAGGTATAGTATAAAAATCATTACTTTATATACAAAGTGTATAAACTACACTTTTTAGTGGTTTTACTTATATAATACTGTATAGTGTATATTAAATTTAAATATATTTTGTTATTTTCTTGGACAAAAAGGGGTATCAATTTTGGACGAAAGCTGACAGAAAAGGGAGATTCATAATAGAGAATGTGAGGGAAGGCAATTATTGTCTCTACGCATGGGGTTTTGGTTTTATCGGTGACTATAAATATCAACAAAACATTACTATCACGCCAGGTATTTATATATATATATATATATATAGACGTATAATTATCAATTATATAAGCTCTATTTGATCATAGCTACAGAAGCATGCTTGGCTCTCATCGTTTCTTATATCTTCAATGCAAAGAGATTTTAACAATATCACGATTTTGTTTGTTTGCGTTTACATTTCTACTTTAGCTTATTCTAATTACGAACGATAATAACATAAATGCATAAACGCAAAACGTAAACGCAGGTAGCCAGATCGATGTAGGGCCTATAGTGTATGAGCCGCCGAGAAACGGTCCAACGTTGTGGGAAATCGGTGTACCGGACCGAACCGCCGGTGAATTCTATATACCGGATCCTTACCCTACACTTATGAACAAACTCTATGTTAACCCACTTCAAGACAGGTTAGTACGTACTACAATCTTCTTATCTATAAATATATACTTTTAGTAGTTTTATCAATAATTAGTAGGAAAGTCATTCCAATTTTCACCAATTTTTTAAAGTATTTTCCCTTAATTTTTGGTTAATGAATATTTGCAGATTTAGGCAATATGGATTATGGGATCGTTACGCAGATTTATACCCTCAAAACGATCTTATCTACACAGTCGGTGTAAGTGATTATAGAAGAGATTGGTTCTTTGCACATGTCGTTAGGTAAATAATACATAACTATTTATTTTTCTTTATTAATAATGTTTATATTACTAATTCTCTATCTAATTAAACTTTACTTCTATAACAATATATAGAGACGTTGGAAACGATACATTCAACCCAACGACATGGCAAATCATATTCAACTTAAAAAACGTGAACCGGGTCGGACCATACACACTCCGGATAGCTTTAGCCTCAGCCGCTGATTCAGAGTTACAAGTTCGGATCAACAACCCGAACTCCGATCATATTTTCACGACCGGTTTAATCGGAAAAGACAATGCGATTGCGAGACATGGGATCCACGGGCTGTATAGATTGTATAGTATCGATGTTGGTGGAGATTTACTAAGCGTTGGTGATAATACCATATATTTAACTCAGTCGAGAAGTGTAGCACGATTTCAAGGTGTTATGTATGATTATATTCGTCTCGAAAGTCCTTCTAGAACTTGAAAATTACTAAGTATAAAGTGATAAATAATTAAAATTTGTTTGTTTTTTAAAATTTTCTAGCTAGAGTTAATTTTTTTTTTCATTTCAATGTGAATGTATTCATGTATATAAATAATACAACATTTTAGTTTTTTTGTTTTCTGTTTTAGTTAATAGAAGAATGAAATCAATAATTATATTCTCTCCGTTTTTTATTAGAAATTATTATTATTTTTTTAAATATAACATGTTTTTTTATCAATTTTAAAACAATCTAACTAATAAAAAATAGGATTTAGAATTCAAACAGTCAAAATAATAAAAATAATTAATTTTTACATATAAATTTAAAAATATTATATATTTTGGAAAAAAAATAAACTGTAAAACATTCTCTAATAAATACGGAGGGAGAATTATACAGTTGTGCGTGTGAAAGGTGTAATTTTGTACATACAAAATAAATATATCTAAGATAATTAGGACCTATAGTTATTTTCATTATTACTATTTAGCCAGTGATAGATGAGATAACACGTGTCCTCTGTTTTGTTCCCATTACCCTTTTGTAGCCATGTCAGAGACAAGAGAAGTAGTAATAAGTAAAAACAATGTCGATGGTGAATTAACAACAAGCTTAAAGATGTTATTGTTACATTACCATTACCATCAACGTAAGCATATAGAGATTTAGAGATTCTCTATGCAATATTAGCTATCTTGACCAAATCTTCTTCCTGGGGTCTCTCTCTTTCACAACAGGAGCTTGTTGCTGTTGTTCTCTGTTAATAACTCTCCTCTGAGCCACAGGGACCTGGTTCGATGGACCAGAGACAGGTCTTGTCGGTCTGGTTAATCTGGCGGCGACAACTTTTGGTGGGTCTGACTTCCTGATCCGTTTCTCATTCATATGAGGATGATCATCACCACCACCATTGTTCTCTGTTTCGCTGCTTCTCGAGATCCTCTTCTTTCTACTCACTTCGTTGAGATTCAAAGAAACGTTTCTTCGAGCACTTGCCTTTAGACGGTTTGATGTTCTTAAGATGTTGTTGGATTCCGCATTCTCGTTGCCAAAGTTATCTTCTTTGAAACAAGTTTTCACTTCGTTTGGAGTAGCACTCGCAACATCGGGAAACTCTCTTGTTGCTGCCATCTGCTGTATATGCAGCTCTTGCTCCTTTAGCCTCACTTCAAGTTCTTTAACCTTCTGTCGTAGTAACACTGCTTCTTGGCTTTGCTCCTCTTTTTGCTTCCTCTCCAAATCTTTCATCTGAAGAAACCGAATCGAATAGTGAGATGGTAAGATATTTAGAAATTAAGAAGATGGTAAGTTTGAGATTTTAATCAGTCTTCCTCCTAACCTTCTGTTGCCACACAAGAGAGTTCCCTTCAGAGTCTTTCAACTTACTCTCAAGATCCTTAACCTTCTGTTGCAACACAAGAGAGTTCCCTTCAGATTCTTTCAATTTATTCTCAAGTTCCTTGACCTGCAGGCACCGTTTTAGGAAGTTTGGTAACTCTCAACAAAACATTATGAGGTTTTTATGTAAATAATCAATATTGATTTCAAGAAACCTTCTGGTTATAAGCTACAGAGTCTGATTGGTGTCTCTCTCTTAGCTTAGACTCTAGCTCCTTGACCTTCATTAATTGAACAATGGTTTTTGTTAGTCATATAATGGCAACAGAGGAAAACTAAAGCAGAGAAAAAAAAGGAGAACAAACCTTCTGCTGGAGATTAATACAAGTCTCATCTCTGCCTTTTAGTCTTTCAAGAAGCTGTGCATTTTGCTTTTCGGATTGGGTATGAAGCGACTCAAGCTGGCCTTCAAGTTCTTTGTTCTTTTCCTGGAGACTTCTGTATGAGTGGTCTCTTCCTTTACTCTTACCTTCCAGGTTCTGTATGTTCTCTTCCAGTTTCTTTATCATTTCATCTTTAGATCGGCTTTCTTGCCTTGCTTTCTCCACCTTTACAAGTTATACATGAAGCAATAAGGGAAAACTGCGTGACACAATCTAAAAAGACAAAAAAAAAAAAAAAAAGCTTGGAGAAGTCATACCATTGTTTTCATCTTCTGAATCTCACCGGTATCAACTTGCTTCCTCGCAGGACCCAACTCAACCCCTCTTACACGAGTTGCAAAGTTAAGTGAGCTTAAAGTCTCACTCACATCATGCTCAGAGGGACTGATTTGTACAAACATCAGAGTCTTTGAGTCGCCTCCTGCAATCATTTGCACATCCACACCAGTTTACCAAATGCACAGTGTAACCACGGACTGATTCTAAAGAAAATGTAATGAAGATTCTTACCCAGTGAATCTTGAAGCAAGTGTGTTAATTTTGAGTTCCTGACAGTTGATAATTAAGTGTTAAAGCAGGCTCCCCGCAGAAATTGGGATAGAGAGAGAATTATGCAAAGGATTAGACTAACCTGTATGGAATGTGACTACTCTTTGTAGCCAATGCATAAATCACATCCCCGAGAGCAGAAAGTGACCTATTGATGTTCTGTGCTTCCTTCAGACGATCACCTTGCACGTCAGTCTTTGCCAACCTCTCACTTCCGGCTAAATCTACAAGCCAAAGCTTGCTTTTTGTGCAGTCACCATTCATCAGGTTCTTTGCTTTAACCATTATAGAGAGCATGCTGCAAAGAGAACTTCATGTATTAAACAACCCTTCTCATACTGTAAAGTAAAATGTGAGAGAGGCATATATCCATAGATACCAGTGAGAGCGGCTGCTATGCTCATTGACATTATTGGATCCAACAGATCTTGCATTGCTCCCAGTCTGAAGCACATTCCACACTTCATTTATGTTTTCCACTTTTGCTTCTACTAATCCAGGAACATGATGGGACCCCTCAGAAGATTGTTTTATCTCCAACCTTGGTAGCAAAATCCATAACGATTAAGATCAAGCTCTATGGAAAATTTTCTGTTTGAATCTCTATGTGTTTAAGACTTAATTGAAGTAGAGTTTCTTACTTCTTTGATGCTGGTGATGTTGCCAACAAGTCTCTTATCTGTTCGTTGTAGACCTCAAGAACACTAACCGATATATCATATGAAATTGTCTCTCTCCTTTCTCTAGCAACTTCAAATAATTGCTCAACGGTTCTATAGTTGACACCCCTGTTCTGTGGAGTGCCTTCCATTGTAAACGTCTTTCCTGTTCCTGTTTGCCCGTATGCAAAAATACACACATTGTAGCCGTCTAGCACTGAAACAACCATAGGAGAAGCATCTGCAAAGACATCAACTGCAAGATCGAGAAAGAAACTCTGTTAGTAAATCAATTTTATTTATACTTAATGATGTAACTTGACCATAACATATCACAGTACCTTGACCATCTTTCGGTGTATAAACTCTGTCAAACTTGAAACTTTTTTTGGAATTGTTTCCTGTAATAACACCAAGCTCTCCATCTTTTGCTCCATCAAAATCAACAGTTGTGGCACACTTACTTGACGTCTCCTCCTTATTCAAAGGGCGGCAACGACAAAAGACCCTAATATTGCCTGATATATAACGGATGCTGTCAGTAATCTGTAAAGGTTTTAAAGTGAGATGCCAAGAAGCTAAGGCAAAACATTAGGAAAGGTTAAAAAAAAGTGCATTGCCTTTAGTCTCCTGAATATAGTTATACAGCTCCTTTCGCTTCGCTTGCTCTTCACTGTACTTTTGCTTGAGATCCTCACACTGTGAAACTGTTTGACAAGTTGATAATAGTATTAGTTCAGGAAATTGCCTTCTTCACAACTAAAAGAGGTAAACTACTCACCAAGTGCCTGAACACCATCAACCATTTTGTACAATTCTGGAATTGATTCCACGCATTCGTGTGCTTCCTGAGATAGCTGAGATTGTTCCCTTTTCATCACCTACATAGCAACAGGTCCATAAATACCTAAAAAAAATTATTTTGAAGAATATGTATGCTACAGAGAGGCTATGATATAACAGTACTTGAGGAAACATCCAACTACCTCTATTTTCTCCTGTAGATTGGCAATTGCAGATGCCCAATGTCTCTTGTCATTCTCATATTTGCTAGTGACACTCTTCAGACAGTCAGCTTGCGTTATCACAGTTTGGTCTGTTTCAAGTAAGCACCGAGTCAGAAGCAAGAAACTCTCCGCCAAAAATATATAAAAGTCACAAAATTTGGATTGACAATGATGAGAACTTTCTAACTTCCACCCATATGTCAGGTATGTTAAGTTATTACCTAGAGAGCGTGCCTCGTACACCTTATTATCGAGTTCCATCATCACTTTCTCTAGTCGCTCATTAGCAGAGGTCAGTGACATCCATGCTTCGTGGCACTCATTTGTCTTATGTTGGTATCGTTCAGAAAGCTCTTCTATTTTCTTCTCATACTTCTCATGAGCTTTTGCTCGCATAAGCCTCTTCTGCTCACAAAGAAGAAACTCAGGTTCACCCATTACGCTTATGTTTTTTTAAGGAAATAAGAGCCAGCATGAGTAGTTATAAACAGTACCCGAGCGGGAGAAATCTCCATTTCGGCAGCACAGTTCCCACACTTAATATAATCCTGTGATGTCCTTGCAACTGTACAGCAATGCAGAGAACGAGTTAGTAGCTTAAAAGTTTGAGATTCCCTATTGAAATCTTAAATAGAACCAAGCACAAGAGAAGAGCATTACCTGAAACCTGTGGTGCTTTCCTAAGACAAATCCCACTAATCACTGGACTTCCGTTTATTCCTTCGAACCTTACCCTTATCAATCCATCTCCCATCACCACGACCCTCAAGTCAACCAACATAAGTGGCCTGTTTGCGCCAACAACCGAGAAGATATCGAATTCAGATAAGACCTGACCATAACAAAAAAAAAACACTTGTTTCAGGCTTTCAGCATTACGCAAACTTTTATTCATTCCACTACATGAAAAAAGCACTATCTTTCAGCTGGTCCACTACTTGCCTTCTCATCTTGAACATAGACGTTGAACGTCCGTATCCCTTTAGGTCCATTGGTGTTAATAATCTCTGCGAAATGGAAATCGATGAAGTATTCTCCAGGAAGAAGATTGTTTAGCCTGTAGCAAAAGTTCCCTACACGAGCTGACTGGTAGATGAAAGGGTAGTCTCCTCCTTCGACTATAGACTCGTTTGTTCTCCTCACGTCCCCTCCTTCGAAATAAGTGTCTCTGAGGATATTCAGTTCAGGGTCTATCACATTGGAATCAACTCCTCCAGCGTTTATGAACATAATGGTCTCATCTGCAAACACACAATCAACAACAAAAATAGAGTGCCTCAATATATAAGCTAAATTTGAAGTTTTTGAGTTCACTCAATTAGTAGAGAAACCTATTTGTACTCGTTACAACCAGATCAAATGCATCATCTCTCTCTCTCTCTCTCTCTCTCTCTCTCTCTCTCTCTCTCTCTCTCTCTCTCTCTCTCTCTCTCTCTCTCTCTCTCTCTCTCTCTCTCTCTATGCCTGGGTGAATGTGAATCTTCGATTCGTAGTGTAAAATTGAACATAAACATGAATATTTCCAGCATATTATACTGATTGATTGTGAAAATTAGGCAAAATGCCCAGCAAAAACCCAAACCCTAGAGATTCAGATCGAAAACCCGAGATTCCACTAAGCGAAAAGGAAATGCAGCCGAAACCCCAAATATGTAAAATAAAAAATTGAAATCGGAAGTGAGAGGATCCAACCTGTGCGATTAGCTTTTGTGAAACCAGTGGGCACGAGTCTTGAATTCGGATCGCACAACATGGAATCCGCCATAGAATCCTCACAGTCATCCACGGAAGTATCTCCGATCTCCACTTTCTCAGTTGCGTCACCAACGAAATGGGGATTAGAAATCTCCGGTGAATCAGATGAAGTCACTTTTGGATCCATCGGAACTGTATCGTTGATCTGAACATCTTCCATCGAAGCCGCTTCTTTTAAAATCCAAAAGAAAAAAATTCCGAAACGCAAATTGTTCCTCTCGTTTTCGTTCTCTCTCTCCGAAAAAACAAAAAGCTTAATGCAAAGGATATGATAAGAGAAATGAGAAAAGAAAGGCGTGACCGGGGAGGAATATTTTTTTTCCTTTTCTGCGTTTGGTGTTTAAAATTTGAATCTATCTGCCACGACCGTTAAGAAATTAGTGTTACCGTTAACGATGGGCCCCTACGCTTTTCATAATGGGCTTTCTTGCAACATTGTATTAAAATTAAAACAAAACCGAGAAACTCAGACCGGTCGATAATGATGATAAAACATTAACCGGTATTTGGAATTAAGAAGCCATTAAACCAACTTCCTCTTTTAGATACAGCTTGAAGCAGAGAAGAGATCAAACAAAAAGAAACTGCACTTAGATTCTGATAACTCCCAAGTTTTCAAAACAAAAGATTGAGTTACCATCAAAGACAAAAAAACTGATCTCCATTACAAAAGTGTAGGCGTCATTGATCAGCGAGGATGGACACGATCAGAGACATAGCTGTTCGGGTTTGCTCAGGAGTCCCAGAGAGTAAGACCGTCGCTTCAACAACTCCTGTAGGAGGATCCTTAACATCCACTTTGGCTCCTGAAATCTGTTTGTTTGCAAAGAAGTTCCCATTAAGTATTTACATTTGCTTCTATATGATTCAAGTAGAGAGAAGAAATGACCTGTTGTAGATTATCAAGACCGGCGCCATCTCTGCCATAGAGTGCAGCGAGAGCATCTTTCTCGACAGCTAGCTCCAATGTCACGTTTCTCAAAGACACACCTTTACTTCTGCTTCACAAAAAAGGTTACATTGTTTAATGCCACGAGACTGTTAACAAAACGGATTGTATTTGTATTGTTGTTGGGAAGAACAAAACACCTCTGTGGTAAAGAAGAGACGTCTCCATTGCTAGAAAGCTGAAGCTGTTTCATCCCTTGTGTCAAGTCATTGGCGTTGAGTTCATTCTCGTCTTTAAGGTTTGACTTCATTACTTCTGTACCGCTTCTTACTATCTTCGAGTCTTGTTCACCACTTGATACAGAGAGAGACTCGCCATGGTTCTTGAATGTAACGGAAGCAATCAATCAACCTCACCAAAAGCGAGGAAGAAGAGACAAGAAAGCAAACTCTGGCCTTTAGGGGAAAGAAACACACTTACTTGTTGTGATGATGTCTGCAGATTATGATTTGCTCTTGCGCTTTGATATGGATTAGCTCTCATTTCATCCCGTAGTTTAGAAGAAACATGAGTCAACGCCTTCTGTACATGCCTATACTCTCCCATGATCTACGAAAAAACAATCAGAGACTCAAAAAAGGAGCAAATCTCTCTTATATTGATTACAAGAAAAGCATTCGCTTTACCTCTATCACCATTTCATTTTCTGAAATACAGTCAAGAATCTGGTCACCTACTGGGATGTGTACATCGACACCAGTTGCTATGACTGCTTCTCTGTTTCCAACTAAGTCATTAGCGAACTGTGACGCTACCAATAGCTTAGCTTTCACTAAGGCAACATGCATCCCTTGAAGCAGACCTTTCCCAACATCAATCTCAGCGGATCTTGCGTAGACAAGAGCCAGAGCTTTTTGTGCATGAGAGTACCGTGACTCTAGGCTCTACAAAAAGCAAAACAAAAAACAAAAGTGAATGTGTGATTACATTCTAATGGAGCTCGGGAGAACAAAACCTCACCTCACGTGCAGAAATGGTAACGACTCTTTCACCGGATGCTTCTAGTGGAGCTCCGATCGAAATTGAAGCACCTGTTTCGTTCTGCAGAGCTCTGATGATAGTTCCTTGTTTCCCAATTATGCCTCCGGCTGCTACACTCGTGCAGATTAGCTTGAACACAACCTTCCGCTCAAAACTGTTTCCTCCTTCGTATCTTCTATTGGATCCGGCGGTTTCTGAAGCGTTAGGCAACGAAGGACGCAGGTTCGGGAAAAACTCGGAGTGAGGATCCTCTGCGTTTGCGTTTGTAGATGATGACTCATAAGCTTTGGTGCAAAGTGGCGGCGGATAGCCATTGAGAGGTGGACAGTTTTGAAGAAAAGTCGATACCATGACAAGTGCCTTCTTCACAGCCAAGACTTCCCCGGTGATCTTTGTACAGAAACAAGACACATTCACAAATCAAAAACCAAAACAAAGTTATTTACTTTTCAAAGACTTGAAAAGAATAGCAGAAACACTTTAAGTGAGTATGCAGATAGATTATCAAAAAACTACTTTTCAATAACATTCTTCACGTTTTTTTAACATTGATCATAGATTATAACAACGTTATTGCTTCTTCATCTTCTTCTACTTCTACTTGATGAACATTAAGCACATTCTCACATCTTCATATACAAACTTTCACTTTCATGGAGGAAAAGCCATGCATTGCTTATGTTGTCACAAATCAAAGAGCAAAAACTCAGAAAACAGTTCAAAACCCCAAATTTTGAAGAACAGTTGACCGAAATGGAGAAAAAGCCAAAGACTTTAAAATTTTGGTTTTTTTCCACAGTAATTTGATCACAGGAGAGACAGAACTTACCTGAATCAGTTGATCAGTACCAAACGCTAAAAGGCTACTTTTTAATAACATTCATCACGTGTTTTTAAACATTGATCATAGTTTATAGCAAAATTTTACAATAATCAACACAATGTTATTGCTTCTTCTTCTTCTACTTCTACTTGATGAACATTAAGCACATTCTCACATCTTTATAAACCAAATTTCACTTTCATGGAGGAAAAGCCATGCATTGCTTATATTATCACAAATCAAAGAGCAAAAACCCAGAAAACGGATCAAAAATCCAAATTTTGAAGAACAGTTGACCGAAATGGAGAAAAAGCCAAAGACTTTAAAGTTTTGGTTTTTTTTTTTCATAAGAGGAGAGATATTGAACTTACCTGAATCAGTTGATCAGTGATCGTGCCGCAAACCGGCGGAGGCAAAACCCTAATCATCGCACCGGAGTTTCTCCGCATCCACTCCACATTCTTCCCTCCCACACCCAAAACGGCCCCAATCTGATTCCGATCAGCGAGAATCCCACAATAAGCTTCTTTATCGTCACCGTCGACGATTCCGCTGCTATCCTTCGCCGCCAGAACCACCCACGACCTCTCCAGAACCCTAATCAGCGCCGTCTGAGCGGCGGAGACCTCGCAAGTCACCCAATCTTCGCTTTCCCCGCCGGAGAAATCTCCGACTCTATCAGTCAGCACAACGCTTTTGTTAACCGCAGTTGAGCCGACGATGAACACGACCCAGTGATCGGAGCCGTTCACCGGAGACTCGCAGTGGATTTTAGTACCGGTCTCGCGTCGGAGCTTGGAAACAACACAGCCGTTTGCTCCGATTATGCCACCGATAACCGACGCGTGGCAGACAACTCGCAAAGCCACCTCGTCCGGTAACACGTTGATCACCTGACGCCGCGGCTGCAATCGTCGATTCTGATTTGACGCGGCGGCTACTCCACGGGGGTTATTATTCATGGCGGCGTAGTTTAGCAGAACGCTTCTTCGTATTCTTAAAAGAGTGTTTCTTCTTCCTCACAAGTCACGGTGAAGAAGCGGGAACGACAAAACTAAACGCTAAGATCAGCTTAATAAGTGAAAAAAACCACGTTTGTGCATAGAAACGCGTAAATCTCTCAAATTACCACCATTTTCGCATGTATTTATTACTAAATCAGTGCGTTTTAGGAAAACTTGAGGAAAGGAAAGTTCTAACGAAAGATTGACAATTGCGATTCCGCGTTTTAAACGCTAAATGTTTGCCAGCACTGAGAACAGTTAAAGACAGACAAAATCATTCTGTTAGTTGTCCAATGGAATTTTTCATGTATTAACAAAAGTTTGTTGTTTGACCCTTGTATTAATAACGTTATTAAAATAATGGGCTTATTTGATTTTAGGCCCAAAATTATAAACAGAAGTATGGAGGTGCGGGGAATCGAACCCCGTGCCTCTCGCATGCGAAGCGAGCGCTCTACCATATGAGCTACACCCCCGATTGGTACATTTTCATGTCAATTAAAATATGAAACTATTAACTCCAAAAATCAGAATTTGTATGAACAAGTTGATCTTTCGATCACAGGACGAAGTCCAAGTTTTTCTGAATTCTTTCGACCATCATCTTCTTCTTTCCCCTCTTTCTTCATTCGTTTCTGCTTTTTTTTTAGGGGTTTTAAAATTTCCTTCTCTACTGTCGTATCATCGGTAATGGCGATTGATGAAGCGATACTCGATCAGCTGAAGAAGGAGACTCCAGTGGATGAAGAATCTCTGGTTTTGAATCGAGACTCGAGCGTCGGTCTCGTCATCGTCGACGTTGTTAATGGATTCTGCACCGTTGGATCCGGCAATATGGTTTGATTCAATTTCACTAGAATGCTATTGTTTTATGTGTTTTTGACTTCTCCCAAAAATCGAAATGTTGGCTCTTTTTGTTTTTGTTTCTTCATGCCTACCAAGTGTTTGTGATATTGCTTCACTCATAACATTTTCCTTGTGATTCTTTCTGCAGGCTCCTACGAAGCCTAACGAGCAGATATCGAAGATGGTGGAGGAATCTGCAAAGCTCGCAAGAGAGTTCTGCGATCGGAAATGGCCGGTTTTTGCGTTTATAGACTCTCATCATCCTGATATTCCCGAGAACCCTTATCCTCCTCATTGTATCATTGGAACTGACGAATCAGAACTTGTTCCTGGTAAGCTTCCTCTGTGTCAATCTCTTTGTTAGATTTCTATAACAGCTGAGGCAGTCTCTTGACTTCTTCTTCTTCTTCTGTGAATCAATCAGCTCTTAAGTGGCTTGAGAGTGAGGATTGTGTTACTCTTAGGCGAAAGGATTGCATAAATGGGTTTGTGGGTTCGATGGAGAAAGACTCTTCTAATGTTTTTGTGGATTGGGTTAAGGAAAAACAGATCAAAGTCGTAAGTTTTTTCGATTTGTGTCAAAAAAGTTCAGTGCTTTTAGTTACACATACAGCTTACTTGAACATCCCTGTGTTTGTTTGGGATCAATAGATTGTGGTTGTAGGTATCTGCACAGACATATGTGTGTTTGATTTTGTGGCTACTGCACTCTCTGCCCGAAACCACAGTGTTCTTCCTCCTTTAGAAGATGTCGCAGTGTACTCTCGTGGCTGCGCTACTTTTGACCTTCCTCTTCATGTTGCAAAAGACATCAAAGGTGCTCAAGCCCATCCTCAGGTACTTAGTTTGATGCTTCTGAAATTAGCATTGTTGTTTTATACAATTGCTTTGTTTCTCATATTCTTTTTCTTCTGTTGCCAGGAGTTGATGCACCATGTAGGTCTATACATGGCTAAAGGACGAGGAGCTAAGGTAGTCTCTGAAATTTCTTTTGACCCTTGAAAGACTATCTCGCAAGAAAATTTATCATTCTTGATTTCGATTAGTTCAGTAGATTGTTGAGTTTGCCTTTTCTATTTTACTTTTGTAAATTGTTCATGAAGCTTGTTAGCTGAAGATCAACTTTTTGTATACTATTTCTGAATGACAAATACTCTAAATGAAATGTTCAATCTAATGAAAAATTCTCTGAGAGTCTTAGTATAATCTCATAAGACTGTTGCAGAGCTATTCTCTATTAATATGCCATCACGAAAACACAAATGAACAAATAAAATCTCAAACTCTGTTTCTTGTAATGGTTCTACATACAACTTTTGAAGAAGAAAATGGAAAAAAAAAAAAAACTGGGAGACACTCCTCTTGCTTCACCAGTTACAAACTGTGAACAATCTACAATACTTAAAAGGGATAACCAACACACAAAACTATTGTTTCAATCTGGCAAACCGAAATAAAGGAGATGGGGGATAAAAAGGGCTCACTCTCTCCAAGGAAATACAGGTATAAAAAGATAAATGAATCAAATCCTCCATGAATCTGATAAGTTACAGTATATGAATCAATTAACTCTCTGGATGGTATGTATATTATGTAATATGTAAATGTTACCTATGTAGAATTCTTCATCTTTCTATATAGTGAGGGATGCATGCAGGAGAATATCGACGGCTTTGCTCTCTTCTGTTTGGAGCCAAAGATGAATGACCTTAAGGGAACTCTTGAGCGACTATCTGAATGCTGAAGATCAAGATCTGATCTCTTTGAACCCGAGAGAGAGAACTCCTCGCTTAGCTTTCCTAAAGTCTTGTCAACCTCGAGCTGAAGCGTGGTAATGTGATCTAACCCAGCCTGTAACTCGTCTGCTACTTTGTTGTTCTCCTGCTTCATGTTCAGCACCTCACCTTGAAATTTAGCTGCTTGATAGCTCGTGAATCTGAAATCATCGTCTTCAGCACTTGATTTCAGGGCCTTTGTTATCTCATCCTGTATGTTACACAGGGACTCGAATCTGGATTTCAGTTCCTCTTTCAATGATGCACCTTTCTCCAGCCAGAGACCAAGGTCTGTGTTTATTTCCCTCAAGTGTACAAAAAGCGGTCGAACATCTGATCTCAGGGCATATTTAGCTGTGCTACTTCCATCTTGCTTTCTTCTTTGCTCGAGCTTTGATATCTCTCCTTGTAGATCTTCGATTGATGTGTCGTAGCTCTGAATCTGTCCGAATGCTGTGCTGAACCTTAACCAGAAATCCAAATTCTCCTCTAGAAGTTCGTCGATATTCAACCTGAACTGTTCCTCGACCAGGGACATGTTCTGGTTTTCTGTAGCCATGAACCCGATGGAATAGTCGTCGTTTGACAACTGGTTTTCCAGCAACTCATTACTGTCTGCAAGACCCTTCTGTAGGAGGCTCATTTTCTCTCTTAGTAGCTTGATCTCATCGTCTTTCGTCGCGTTATCTGTCTTTAACTTTGTTTTTGTTTCATCCAAAGTTTTCTTCATATCCTTGTAGTTCCTGAGAATAGTCGTGTACTCCGTAAGCAGATGCTTTTCTCTGTTCTCCATTCCCTTGGTGAACATCTCTTTCCAATCTGGTTCAATTTCTTTCTCCTTTTGATCCTCTTGTTGTTCGCCATTGAAGGCAACATCAGATTCTTTAGAAGATATCTGCTTCTCTAAGACATTATCCGGAACAGAACCTGTCTTGTCAGACGCAGCATGCTTCTCTGAAACATTATCCGGAACAGAACCTGTATTGTCAGATGCAGCCTGCTTCTCTAAAACATTATCAAGAACAGAATCTATCTTGTCAGATGCAGCCTGCTTCTCGAAAGCATAATGAAGTTGAGAATCTGTCTTGTCTGATGCAGGTTGCTTCTCTGAATCAGAATCTACTTTTTCGGTAGATTCGAAAACAGTCTCTGGAGTTTTACTTGGGATGATGATATCTTCTGCAACTGTTGTCACAGAGCTTTCACTCTTCTCTGCTTCCTCTTTCTTCTCCTCGGCAAGTTCCTTTATCTCTTCCGAGACATATAAACTCCTCTTCTCACCTTCCAGATCAGACTCGGTCTCTGCCTTCACCTCATGCAACTTCCCACCAGAGAGGTTATCGAGATTGTTACATGCTTCATCAAAATCTGTATTCAGATTGCTACTCTTGTCCATAACATTTCTGTCCAGATCCTGCAACGCCTTGAGCTTCTCCTCCATTTCCTTCAGCTTCTTCCTCAGATCACTCTTGTCGTCTGCTAACAAAGCCTTATCGGTTTCAAGAGTACTGATCTGCGTCTGAAGACCGTTGGTCTCGTTTCTCAACCTCTGTATCAAAGCGGTCTGCGAGGAAACAGCACTCTCCAAGCTAATCACTTTGTTCACGAGCTCGTCGACTTTCTCAGCCATGTCTGTCCCGGCGAGAGAAGAATTCACACCAGACTCGAAATGTTCTCTGATCTTCTCCTTTACAGATTCAAGCTCTTTCTTCTTCCTAGACATCTCCTTCATCTCATGCTCCAGCTCTTCCGCTCTTCTAACTTCATCTACACCGTCTTTCGCAAAGACGCTTTCATCCCCTAGAAACTGGCTAGCTATCGACCTTAGCTTCTCTTTAGACTCTGTAATCTTCGTATGCTCTTCTCTAGCTTCTTCATAAGACTTCTCTTGCTTCTCCTGTAACTCCACTAGCTTCTCCTGACACGACTTTATCGCGGTCTCGGTCATCAGTCTCCGAGCTTCGTCGTCTTCAATCGCAACACTCTCACCAAACTCATCCTGCAGACCACAGATCCTCTCTTGTTTCTCCTTGATACCTTTTTCAAACTCCCAGTACTTGGACAAACCTCGCTCGTAAGAGCTCTTCACAAACTCCTTCTCCGTCTGCAACGACAAGATCTCCTTCTGCAACTTATCAATCTCCGCCATCGCCTCGGGCTTGCTCAAACCAGAGCTCTTAACAACCACAGTCGCAGAACCTCCCGTGTACTTCATAGATTTCCTCGGCTGAAGCTTCTTCGTAGCCACTTTAACCGCGCTCTTGAGGTCTTTAACAGGCAACTTCGGAACATTAGGGACATTAGCACCCGAAAGATTCGGTCTTTTGGAGAATTTAGAACTCGAATCGTCGTCATCGTCCATTGCAAAGTTTGGGACTTGGTCAGGAAAAACAGAGGCGATCGTGGTGTTGGCGTTTTGAAGCTCTGTCGAAATGTGATCATAACGCTCAGCTAAAGCTCTATAAGCTCTGTAAGATTCTTCGACGAAGCTGATGAGTTCTGGCCTCTTCTTGTAATACATCTCTGCTCGCTTCGCAAACGAATCTCCATCTTCTTGTAGAAGCTTCAACACGTATTGCACCTTCTCCTCAATATCTGGAAAAATTTTCAAAATAAAAAAAAGGAAAAGTTTTTCACAGAGATCGATCAAAAAGTTTCTGATGTAGACAAACCTCAAAGATCAGAAAGATCTCAACTTTTTTTGTTAAAAAGGAAAAGGGTTTCAGCAAAAACGATTCTTACGTTAACCCAAACAATCAAACAGATAACATATACAGAGAGGTGGATGAAAAAAGGAGAGACCTTGAAGGTTTTGTTCGAGCCATTTAGATTGTTTGGTTCGAATATGACTCGCCCACCACCATGAATACGCATTACTCGCAGCTCTCTGCAGCATCGTCTTCCTCTACGAAAATATAATCACAAAAAGGAAACGTTTTTTTTCTTTTTTATTATGTTGATTTTCAACTCTCTTTGATTCTTCTCATTCAAATTCCCAGAAAATGTACAGAGAGAAAAAAAAAAAGCTTATAACATTTATGTGTGTGATCCTTTTTTCTCTCTCTTATTCTCTCTCTCTAGATCTCAATAAGAAGAAAAGAGGAAAATTTCGGTTAAGCTTAGAGAGACCCACAACGAAAGTTTAAGTTTTTTTGGATCAAAAAGGGATGAATTGAGGAAACAACGTGCAGCTAATTAAAAAATGAATCTGCTTTTTTAATTTTTGTTTCTCAGCTTTTTTATCGGTTAGGGACTTTTATGAATCTCTCCTTTGAGCTGAGCTGTTTGATTGATCTTTGATCATGGGTGGGAGCAAACCTCGCTCTTTCTTTCTTTCTCTCCCACCTAATAAATAATATTATTTTGGTAAAAGATTTCAATTTCAGACTATTATTATTTATCAGTGAATTAATTAATTGAGATTTTGAAAATTAATATTTTAGATAATGATTTCTACGAATGTCTTTATTACCAATGTTATAATGCCAGCATCGTGGTCGGAGAAGTCAGAAGCATTCTCTCCGATTATTCTTCTGTATCAAACGTTATAGAACATGTCAGAACCAGAAATAAAAATATATATATTATATTATTTGTTATCTGAGAAAGACTCTCAGCGAATGAACATATTAAAATTGTTGGGAAAAATAAAAAGGAATGTGAAAATGTCGTGACATTGTCGGTTTTTTTTAACAAAAAGATTCAAGCAAGCAAAGCCTTTTTTTTCTTTTTCTTTCCTTAATCATTAATTAATTGAGCCTTAAAACTTTTCTTTCTTTCTACGGTTTAACCATGAAACCGGACACGTTTTGATGAATCGGTCCAAAGGTCGGTGTCTCACGATCCGACCAGAACCTTCTTTCTTGTTCAAAGTCTCTGAAGCTTTTTTTCTTACAAGGGGTTAAGTAATTACTCGATTCAATACTATTTTGATTAGCCAAACAAAAGCGAGAGAGTTCCGAATGCTAATCTATTTCTGTAAAAAAATAAAAAATACTCTTGCTTGTATTTTTGAAAATAAAATTTGGTGAAATGTTGTAAGAAAATTTTATCAAAAAAAAAAAGAAATGTTGTAAAATTATATTGGCCCATTAACATTTGCTCAAAACCAACTTAAAGAAAAATATTACACTGTTTTTCTTCCTTGATCAAAGCCCACTTTTTCCATAATCATATAATTTTTTATTTCGAACTACTGTATGTAGATTGATTATTTATTTTTCTGTGGCCTGACAATTTTTGAAGCCCATATATGTCAATTTATTAGGCCTTATAAAAAACCGGTAAAAATTGTAAATATTCCAAGAAACAAGAGTCGATAGAGAAGAGAAATATTCATAAAGTCAAGTGTTTAGTACGTAAAGCATTACACATGGACGACAAGAATAAAGATAAATCGAAAACAAAACATAATCAAACAAAGTTTATCGGAAGATTAGAGAATTGTGATAGTCCTCATACCATTAAAGAGGTGCGATGTCACGTTCATCACGCATTGAACTAATACTACTAAATGTGTAGAGCTTTAGCTACACACATATATATGACACTATCTGATTGGTTAATATCGCATAAACGATGATTTAAAGTCCAAAATCTTTCTCATTTACTAACTTACCATTTACATACAGTTTGTTGATGATGATGACAAAACAGAAATGCATTGAAGAGATCAGTGCCGGCTTAGGAGGGGGGACAGTCGGTGCGACTGCCCCAGGGCCCACTTCAAATTTAACAATATTAGGGGTCCAAATTTTTTTTGTTCAGTACTTGTTAAGTTTAAATTTAGATAATAATAAAACTTCTGATTATGTGTGTGGGGTCTATTAACTCTATGATTTATCCACTGACTAGTCTACTTGATATAGTAGAATTCGATATTGTTTTTACCTTATTTTCACAAATGTATATAACTCAGAGATGTCGAGCTATAGAGATTACTTAATTAGTGTTTATACAAGAGTGTATGATTCTCAAAATATATCGGAAATTATTATAACAAGTAACAGATACATAAAATATTTAATTAATGAAAATATAGGATTACTTGAAGTCAAATTTCTCTTTTTTTTTGTAAATTATGATTACAAAGCTGTAGAAGAAGAAATAAAAACATGAATATAGTATTACAATTTATTAAACTGTAGAATTCAAAAAAAATAATTAAAATTAGTTAGTTTATTTTAAAAAAGTATAATTTGAAATTCTATTTTTCTAATAATATTTAAAAAGGTAATATTAAAAAAAATATATATAGTTATAGAGTCCAGATTTTTTTTTGCCCAAGGGCCCCTAATAATACTGAGCCGGCCCTGGAAGAGATATGTAATAAAAATCACAAAAGGATTTTACTCAGACAGAAACTTACAACAAAACATATGAGGATTTTACTACATCATCTCTTGTTATTACAGAAGTTAAAAAAAGATTTTTGCATTAATCTCCTCACTCACTCCATCAACTTCTTTTGTATCGTTCCATCTCTAACCACCATACGCTAACCTGCACAAAACCAAACATTAAATTGTTTAAGTTCAGGCCAAAATTCGCAAAAACATGTTTCCTATTTTATAAGAGAAAAAAAATGCTAATTTTTAAAAGCATGCATGGATTAACAAATAAATCAACTTAATTATTAAATCAAGAACAAAAGTAGGAAACGGTGAATAATATGGATTAAATTACCCGAGTCTAAGGGAAGTATCGGAGCTCTCGGAGTCAACAGGAGCGCCGGTGGAGTTTCCGACGTTAGTAATGGACTCCGACGAGTGTCCTTCCTCGTACACCGCAGTGTGCTCCGATTCAACACCACCGTATCTTTCATGCACATTATTACATATCTACACGATAACCAAAAAAATTTTCCAAACTTAACATGAAATCTAAAAATACGAAAATTATACGAAAATTCTAAGTTATACCGACGTACCTGCTTGCCTAGTCGCTCGTTCTCTTCCGTAAGTTGTGTTCCCTGCAAAATAAAAATTCGAAAATAGAAAAGACAATTCAAATTATTAAGTGTCTTGTACTTCTCTAGAAATTGACTAATCGAGAGAGAAGCAATAATTCATTGAGCCAATGATTAGGATTACGGGTGCCACTTCAATAAAAATGAATTGATTCAACCTCAAAACCGAACCGGATAGGAAAAAAACGATTCAAATTTTGCATGTCCAAACAAACCAGACCAAACTAAATTAAAAGAAGAAAATAGCTGCTTTAATTTCTTATAAATCTTCCAAAACACTGCTTCCGTTTTGTTTTGTATGATAGTTTGGTGAAACGCTAATATTAAAAAGTTATATAAATTATGTCTACGTTTTGTTTTCAAACCCTCTTGACCAATACTAGTTTAATATTATATAGGCAAGTAGGCAACTAGTTTAACTAAACTAAAACTGAAAAAAAAACATCTTATAAAATAAAACAGAGGAAATAACAAATATTATTTTATAAGAATCTGAACCAAACCAAATCAAACGAGCTTTAGATTCATTTCAGTTTCCATATTCCATAAGACCATATAAAACAATCTGAAAACATAGAAAATCGAACCAAAACATGAACATTCCTACACCTAGCTAGGACCAAGTGTCCTATGTTCTTAGGGACTTATTTGCTAAATACTGTATTAGTTTTCCATTAGATATAAAGGCACTTTCTAACCACGCTTATCACATGGTTTAACCATTTATCTCAAAGCATGATGATCAAAGATATGTATTATTGAAAAAGGGTAAGATGCGTACTTGCTGCCTTAGCCGCTTGTTCTCATCCATTAATTGCATTCCCTAAACACCAAAAAAGAGAGAAATGTTGGAACGACTCTCGAAATTCGCCAAAATCATATGAAGCAACGTTAGTATTTATATTCTTACCTTTCTTTGAAGGTCACTGATCTCATTCATAATCTTCTCACTCTGCAAACAACATCCCGTAATAATAAGTTACATATTCGTAACCTTTGAGAAATCTTATACATTATATCATATTGTTATAATACTATTAACATCTATAACATTAACAACCTTTGTTTCAATCACACGCGTCAAACCAGCTTCAAGGGCCTTTTCAAGCTGTTGCAGCTCTTCAATGTTAAGTCCTTGGAGCTCTTCTCCTCTCATTTGTCTATACAGGATCATACATAAACACATAGTTAGAAATATGATAGTTAAGTAAAATCATAGAATATGCATGCATGTGTATGGTGTACCTTAGTCGGTGGCTCTTGTCCGCAATTTCTTTGCTCATCCGGGCGTGATCGGTGTTCTCAACCAGCTAACAAATAAAAAAAATCGACTTACACTTAGTTCATACGGTTCGAGTACTTTTGCACGAGTTCAATTTCAATGTAGTCTAGTCGTATGCAATCAAATGAGGATACATTAATCTAAATATGGTAATCTAATGGAGCAATACTAGGTTTTGTAAGTTACAGAATCGTGAAAAGCTAACCTGTAACTCAAGAGATGGCTGATCAAGCTTCTCCAAGTTCTTTGACTGCAAGTTATGCCTCTCTAATACTTCCCTCATGCTTCATTATATAATGCAAACACATTCCAATAAATACCTTATTATATAAAACTGTAAATGATCTACTACTATTATGTTATAAACCGCTACATTGTTGATATGAACATTGACAATGTTACCCAAAATATAAAATCAAAAGATACAAAAACCTAACAAAACACAATTTAATCCCGAAACAGATATTATTTCATGTTAAACACTGTCGTTTTACAAATACATATATGTGCGTGTATAGATGTCCCCGGAGATAGGAACTGAACTGATAACTCGTGGGTCAGAAATCCAAAATCGTATCTTTATGATATGATAAGTCATTTTTGATTCCCAATATCCATAACATATCCAAAACCCCTCTATATGACTTTTCTTAACACTAGTAAAGATTCCTAGCTGCTAATTTATTATTAATCATTTCAAAAAAAAAAAAAATTCCCAAGGTTTAAAACATCCACACATACAGCGTATACATATATATATATATATATACATCCTTAATTCCTAATGTTATATGGTCACCACATATTTCTAAATAAAGATGACACTGATGGCTTCCTTGTATCATCCACAGTATCTAAATACATAGATTAATATAGAGCATTTATGCAGATAATAAAGATTTGCATTATTTCAAATAATACTGTAGTTAGATACCTTATTTCTGCCTAAATCAAGAGTTTACTATAGCTTTATCTATGTCATTTTTAGTCATTAATATTTCTTATATAAAAAGTTAGTGGTCCAATAAGGTTTTATACAGTAAACTTCTGTGTATTGACATATACATCTAATAAAAACTCCAAGCTTTTGTTTGGATCTAGAGACGACTCCTTCACAGAGTTTCAAAAAAATCTAATGAGATAGAATAGAGAGAAGTTTAGAGAGAGAGAGAGAGAGATACCTGGAGCTACAAAACTCGAAGAGCTTTCCGGTGGAAGAGAAGATGATGAGAGCAACATCGGCGTCGCAGAGAACGGAGAGCTCTTCAGCTTTTTTGAAAAGTCCTCTCCTCCGTTTCGAAAACGTCACTTGTCTCGCCGTCGCGTTGTCGATTTTCCTGATCTGAATCTTCTCTCTCGCCATCGTATAAAGAGAGGAGAAAAACCCTAGTTTAATTTGATTCGAAAAAACCAAGAAACAAGAAGGGATTAATTTGATGAACAGGAGCAAGATCTTGAATTAGGATTCAGGAATGAGTGATGGTGATTAAAGAGAGAGTACTGAGAGAGAGAGAGAGAGAGGAAGAGGAAGAAGAACCCAGAAGAAAAATTGTGAAAGAGGGGAGAGAGAGAGTTTTTGCTAAAAAAGGAGACTTTAAAGAAGAGAGAGAGTGTGACAAGACGACTGAAATGGAAAGTAAATCGTGTTCTTTTTGCTAAATTTAGAAGAATAATATGATTTTCAAGACAGTAAAAACCCTAGTTTTTGAAGATTTGAAAGAAAGGAACTTAACATCTCTGTGAGAATTTGATCCAGATGACTAATCCACAAGAAAATTAAGGGTTAAGAGGATCAAACAAAACCTCACAATGAAGAAAGGAAATATAAATAAAAGGAGAAAAAGCTTAAAAGGAATATATAAAATTTTAATATCTCACCTCAATGGTCAAGGAGAGATGTAGACATGAGATGGTTTTGATAGGTGAAGAATGAGATATTTTGCAGGCAAGGTTTATTAATTAATTATTCTATCAACATGATGGGGTTTCTTAAATGATTATTTTTGGAAAGAAAAAAGATATTTTTCTTATTTTATGTTATTTTTTGGATATTGGTTTGTGTGTGGTGGTTATTGGATATGGTGAGGAAAAATAGGATTTATAAGCCTCCAATGAGATGAGAAGTATTTGTTTGGGTCAGTGGGGAATTTCTTTTTATAGGGAAGCATAAAATGAGTTGTCTCACTTTGTCACTTACACTCTTGGTAACTAAATTGGTCGTATTTGCTGTAAAATTTTCAAAAACTTCTTACAATTTCAGGGGCTGAATTGGTCAAATCGAACTAAATCAAAATTTTATTTTTGGTTTGAATTCGTTTTTACATAAAATCTGATCAGTAGTTTTGAAAGATTATTTCAGGTTTTGGTTAACTAGACCGTTTATTAATTTAAACAATAAATCTCAAATCTAACTGGACAAACCAATAAATCTTCATTTACCGGACCAACTATTTGTTTCTTTTAGTCCAAAAAAAACTATTAGTTTCAATCGCCACAATCATTTTCTAGGCTATAAATAGCAAAAAAAAGAGAAACCGTGATGATAGAAGAAAAGTAATTTAAAGGGTTTTAGAAACTAAATAATGTTCTAGGATGCCTTAATGCGAAGATATGATTAATGGAGGGACCCTCGAGCAAGAGTATAATAAACAGTGTCGACCACTCGAAATTTTTAGAAGGGGACCCTAAACCAGGCCCGAAGCAATCTGATTGGGACACGATCCATTGTCCGTACAGAATTTATTTTTCTTAAAAGTTGGAAAAAAAACAAAAACAAATGAAATTAAAAGATGCTCCACACAACCACTCTTTAAAATCAAAACTTGTTCATCTTTATTACTCCAAGAATACAATTATTTACATGTGGCTCATATCTCTCGCTCCCTATTCTATTCTCTATTTCGCCGACAATTTTTTGTTAACTATTAGTACGAATTTAGGATATGAATGATTAATTATGCTTTTAATTAGCGGTATAGTTGATGTGATTAATATGGTTTGAACTTTGAACAGTTCATATATAGTTTTTATAAGATTCTAATAATAAATTTAGAGTCTCTTGTAAATTGTAACATCATAAGATTGGAAGATCAGGATTTGAATGCTTCTGTATTACTACGATTTTAATAATAATTGATCACACTAGATAATTTTTTTTGAACTTAATCACACTAAATAATTAAGTAACAAAAATATTCAACACTGTATATTTTTTCTAAGGCTGGTTCATCCAAATCAATATAAAAGTGAATAGTATTTTCTATTTTTTTTTATTCAGTCTTTTTTCTTATAACGGTTCAGATATTTAAATCGGTAAAGTTGAGTTTACATAGTTTAAACTATAAAAGTAGTTTCGAACACTTCGTACCATCTGACTTTTATTAGTCTCGTATTACTCTAGATATAATGTAATTACATAATACAAAATCAACTGTGTAGTATTTTCTATTTAATACTCAAAATTTAAATAATATTAACGTTGTAAAAATTGTATGAAAATATTTTGTAAAAGAAAAACAAAATTGATAGTACTATACTAAAAATATAATTATTATCATAAAAGCTGGTTTTTTTATCCGGCTTTCATGTATAAATACGTCATGCACACACGTCCTTCATATTATACTAACTAAACAATCCAATCCAATCCAATCCATATCCAACAACAACAGCAAACAAAAATTTGAAACGCTTCAATCGTTTACTGCGTTTTGAAACGGTTAAATCATTAATATTTTGAAAATTGAAACAGTAAGAGCCGCACGTGACAATACTGTGTGTCTTTGGATTTTGATTGGTCAAAGTGTCAGACTTTTTTGACTGGACTCTAAGTTACATTGCCCCTAACCTTTTAGCTATTTTAGGCTTCAACAGTCCCTACTCAGTACTCACTGACACTTTCCATGAATCAAAACAACAGTGACAGTTACTACAAAACAAAATCCCAATGGGCTTTTTACTGATTGGGCCTATTTTTAAAGCCCATTTGTCAGGTTTCTTCCTTCTAATCATCATAAACCTTTTTTTTTTGTTTCTTCTCGCCGGCTCTTTGAAATGACGACGGCGATGACTTGTACGCGACTGACTATCTTTACGGTCGCCGGAGTATTAATTCAGATCATCGGACTATCGATTTTTGTCTTCGGTTTCTTTCCCGTCAAGCCGACTCTCTCTGGCGTCAGGTACAGCTCTTATAACATTTTTGATGGCGAAGAAGACTCTACTCTATTGATCTGCTTACTCTTTTTTTTTGTGTTAATGTGAAATGGTAGTGGTCGGGAGAGTTATCGGAATCCTTTCTGTGATTCTGCTCCGACTTCGAACGAATCGGAGATTCATCCTGAGAAACTGAGATTGCTCTATCAGGTTCTCTTGAACTGTGTATTTGTCATTTTTTTTTGTGAATCCAAATTCAAAGGTTTCGTTTTTGTTTCTTTGTGAGTATATTTGGATGATTTAAAGTTTGATGATGGTGAAGTTTGTAATGTAGGAGTTATCTGGCATCTCTTCTAAATATGATCGACTGATTTTGATGGTATGCACTTGTTAAGATTGAGAATTTTGAAGTTCTTGCTTGTTTTAGTTTGTGAGGATAATGTTTTTAAGGAATGGTTAGTTTAGGTTATTGATGGGCTTCCTGCGGAGTTCGTTCTAGGGAAAGATGGCCAACCTCCATGGAAGGCATGGAAAGAGTCTATGCCTTATACACAGTCACTGTTGGCTAATGGAGATGCCATTGGTTACCATGCTAAAGCAGCTCCTCCAACTGTTACAATGCCGAGGTTGAAGGTGTGTATGTGTGTGTGTGTGTGTGTGATCACAGTTTAAGATGAATGTTTTGCTTGGTGAGTTATTGATTTCGTTGTTTTCAGGCAATGGTTTCTGGAGCTATTGGTGGTTTCTTGGATGTGGCTTTCAATTTTAACACGCAAGCCCTCTTAGATGACAACCTTCTTGGTAGCTATAAGTGTTGTTGATGAGATGCTTGCAATTATATGCAATTTGAAAGCAAATGAATGTAACAGTGCTCTGAAATCTAACAGGTCAGTTCTTTAGGATTGGTTGGAAAATGGTGATGCTCGGCGATGAGACTTGGCTCAAGTTATTCCCTGGGCTATTCATGAGACATGACGGTGTTAGCAGTTTCTTTGTGAGTTTAATGTGATAGTTTTGTTTTTTCATGTCGATTGTTTTTCCTTATCTATATAATGGTCATATGAACAAAAGATGCTTTTCTTGACAGGTCAAAGATACAGTACAGGTAGATAGAAATGTGTCACGACACTTGCCGGATGAGTTTAATAGTCATGACTGGAATCTCTTGGTTAGTTTCTGTTGTTCTCTTATTCCACAGGACATGTGCATTGTCTCTTGAATTTGACTCTTCTCAATTTCCTTAAGGTATCACTTGAGTTTTTTTTTTTCTGTGCTTTATTCTTACTAGATCTACCCCTTATCAGATCCTTCATTACCTTGGTTTGGATCATGTTGGCCATACGGGCGGCCGTAACAGGTCTCTGCTAGTCTCATTTTGTGAGTAAAAAGTTCCTACTTGTATGACCAAAGCATCTAATATATTTTGTTTTCTCTCTATTATAGCCCCTTGATGGCTTCAAAACTTAAAGAAATGGATGATGTAGTTAGAACAATGCATTTAAGAGCCATGGTGGATCGTAGACATGATCAGGGACAGACTCTTCTGGTGAGTACTTTTCTTTTTTTTTTTGAAGGATTATTTGGCTTTCATATGCCAAGAGTTAATCTTATTTGGGTTTCGTATACAGATAGTAGTCAGTGATCATGGCATGACTGAGAATGGAAATCACGGAGGATCGTCATATGAAGAAACTGACTCCTTAATGCTCTTTATTGGCTTGAGTAGCAATAGTTCTGACTATGCTGCAGCTACCAATAATGTAGCTTTCCAGGTAGAGCAGTCACTTAAACTTTTGTGAGATATCTTCCTTCTCTTTTCATGTCAAGTCAAGGATCTTCATCTTTTTGGAAAGACTGTTGATGATTATGAGCTATGTGTGATATGAAACCAATGGAATTCTTGTGATGTAGGTAGATTTGGCGCCAACTTTGGCTCTTCTATTTGGTGTGCCGATCCCGAAAAACAATGTTGGAGTCCTTGTGCCTGGAACACTCAGTTCTTTAAGAGGTAGGTTAACCACTTTTGACCTCTCTCATAATGCAATTCGATCCTGTGGGATGCATCTGACTGTTTTATCTCGGATTATTTCAGATTACGAGCAACTAAAGGCGCTAGAACTGAATTCCTGGCAGTTACTCCGACTAATGCAAGCACAGATACCAAGTTCCTCGTTTGTAGGTTTCTCCTGCAATTGCTTCCTTGATGGAACTTGCGAGGGTCTTGGTTCAGATATTAGTGAGTGTTCTGGGGATAGAGAGAAGCAACTTATCTGTTTGTTTAGGAACGCTGATGTTCTCCATGGCATTTGGAAGTCCAAGAAATTGACAGAGTGTGTGATTTGCTATAGATTTCACTTGTAGTGCTCCTGACTTTAAACTTCTTTGATTTAACCCTAAGTATGGCTTTCATGTTAATAGGTCGTCTAGTGCCATGGAAGATTTCAGCAGAGCTTTAGATGCATATAACGTCTTCTTGAAAACTGCAAGTGAGTGGTTAGCAAGCAAAACCACTGAAGTATGTTTGACATCTTTTCTTGAAAACATGACAGATTTCGTCACTAGTTGCCAAATCTGTAGTGTTTTCTGATTCTAACAAAACTCTTCTATGTTTGCAGAAACCAGTTTTCTTACTCGGTCTTGGGGTGAGTGCCATGCTTCTTTCATGCTTCGTCTGTGTCACTCTCTTCCTCTCCTTACTGAAAGAAGTTTACCATGAGCCCAAGGATCGAGTCTACAGCTTGACTTGTCTGCTGAATTTAGAAGAGGTCTTCATTTTGGTCGTTCTTTTGATATCCGTTATAAGTATGGGATCTAGTTCAATGGTGGAAGAAGAGCATTATATATGGCATTTCATGGTATCTACATTCTATCTCCTGTTACTTCTCAAGACAGCAAAGTCATTCAATCTTTCCACGGGGTTGAACATACTCAGAGACCATAAAATCGGTTCTATCTTTCTGCTTCTTATTTCTGGTAGACTACTGAGAGGTTGGCGTCAAGGCGGCGTGAACTGGACTTACCTTCCTGATATTTCCAAGTGGCTAGAGCAAGTTGGTAGTGGTTATGTCAAATGGATTCAGCTAATCTCAAACTTCCTTGTTATTGGCCTCGGACTATTTACTCTCTTTCGAACAGGGTCAAAGAGAAAAAGTGTCTGCATCCTAGCATTTGGTTTCTCAACATGTGGGTTCCTGATTCTTCTGCATGCCTGGAGATATCAGGATGATATGTTTGCCGATTATGGAGCCACTGTAACAGCAAAACTTATCTATATGTTTCTTTCTCTATCTGCCATTGGAGCCGCTTTAGTGTTGCCATGGTCTATGCTAAACAAAGACAAGTCCTTTCTAGCTGAAGCAGGTGATTGCTTGTATTTGATCGGCTCTGCATACATACTGTGCTGGTGTCTTCTACAGTTACTTCTCCAACAACCGATAAACTCTGGGGCCATACTTTTGCTGCTCATCCAAATCTTAGCGATTTCAAGTCTTTCTTCCAAAGATTTGCAGGTCAAAGAATGGATTGAGGTTAGTTGATCTGTGATTCAAACCGCAACAAGCTCATCGATGCAAGCTCTTAAGGTTTGCGCTTTTCCTCTTCTTTTTGTAGATTGCTGCACTCTACTACATGGGAATGGCAGGTCACTTTGCTCTTGGAAACAGCAATACGTTAGCAACCATAGACGTTGCTGGTGCTTTTATCGTAAGCAATCCTCCTTCGTGTTTCCTCTTATTTTCTCCTAATTTGCTTTCTGTGTGTACTCTTTACCCAAACACTGACACATTCAACAAAAAAAAAACCCTTTTTTTCTTAGGGAATCTCTAGTCATTCTACAATACTTTCAGGGATCTTGATGTTCATGATCACCTACGCATCTCCCTTGCTGTTCCTTTTGTCCCTTGTCATGTACATCGGCGCAAAGCTAAGAAACCAATCACACTCTCACGGGGACACGAATCTCGGACAAGCCTTGAAGCTAACTCTCGGATTCCCTTGCCTCGTTCCTCTCTGCATCAGTTCAATACTCTTGACTGCATACACTGCGGTTTTGCTACTAATGAGGAATCATCTCTTTGTGTGGAGTGTCTTCTCTCCCAAGTAAGTCTTTTGACTGTCTTTTGTATGAAACGTCTTCTCTCCTTAACCGGATCTCACTAGACCTATAAAAGTTGTTTGTTGCTGATTGTGTTGGTGAACAATGGATCAAACAGGTACCTATATGTGTGTGCAACCACTCTCTGCACATACATTGGAGTCTGTATCGTCGCTGTTACTGTAACCTACACATTTTCTGTCACTACCTTCCTTAGAAGCAACGCAACAACAAGACAACGACTCGTAGACTCGTAGTTAATTATGGTCTTTCTTATGTAGGCAGAGAGATACTATTTGATGTTGTAGAACATTAAAGATACTGTTTAAATTGATTTTTTTTTTTTTTTGCTGACTCATATCTTTAATTTATTATTAGTTAAGTTAACTATATTATTATTAACTTGTGGAAGTATAATTGTGTAATGTCTAATAAGTTGATGAAACAAATATGAGACCGAAGAAAAAAACCAATTGATAATAAGAAAGTCTTTACTACTTTGTTGTGACTTTAGTACATTGAAGACTAATGGCTACTAAGATATAAAGATTTTCCACTAGACAAAGATAAAACAAAACCTAAACAAAAAGCTTCTTCTGGATCTTCTCTCTTACGTAAAACATAGGAATCGGCAAGTGTCTCGGCGACGGAGCACCACCCATCGTGACTGAGTCAGCAAACAGTGCTCCTTGATTCGGCGGCGGCACAGTCTTGATCGTGGTGCACGGAGCTTGAACCGGAACCGGTTTAGATTGCGACGGCTTTGAGTGTTTGATAGGAGCTTCTTGTGGTTTAGCGTAACGCTTCAGGGCCGAGACAGGAACCTTTCGAGGAACATGTAAGACAGAGACACGAGAGAAGTAGTGAAAACTGATTCCGTGTTTCGTAAGAAACGGAACGGCAAAAACGTCTCTGGCGAGGAAACGCTGTGTTAACACAATCGACATATCTTGATTCTTGATGAGAGTTTTGATCGGAGAATAGAGATAGACTTTTGGATAAGTTCTGTGTTCTTTAAGCGAGCGAGAGAGCTTAATCGAATGATTGTGAGAAATAATGAGGAGAGAGGGTTTAATTTATAAGGTTTCAGTTCTTCAACTTCAAGTCCAAAAAAGGAAATTAAAGAACCAATCTATACCCAAAAAAGGAAATATATGTGCCCGCGTTGTGTACGTGTGATGGATGTTTCCTTTTTTTCTCTGATTGATAAAAATGAATTAAAGATTTTTCTCGTTAACAAACAAATAAAAAACTGAACGTTTTAGAATTTCATATGGATTATAACAACTTTATATTTTTATATAAATAAGATATTCTTGTTTACCAAATTAATTTCCTATCTTTGTTTTTCCCTAATAATTATTTTGTTTTGCGAACTATATTACCATCATAAGATATTTCGTAATTAATTAATTTAATTTAAATCATAAAACCGGTAACCTAAACAGTTTTTGAAGTCTGGGGGTTAGTCAACAGAGACTGATGTCATACGTATAGTTGGTTCTAGTGAGTAGTGACCCATCTTTCTTGTAAAACAAGTTACTGTTAATAAGTTGCACCAACAATAAAGCCTCTTCACACTTCCCCCAACCTACTTCTCATCAAACCTCAAATCCTAAATCCTTTATAAACACAAGCACACACAACACAAACTTCATCATCACTCAAAACAATCAGCAATCAAACCCAAAATCACTCACCTCTCTTACCGATCTCTAGTAGCAAACTCAGACCCTAAATCCCCCAAAATGGCTCAGTACTGGTTATTATCTCTGGTCATTGCACTGACATTCACAAGCTTTTTCACCGGTCTCTCTGCCCGTCGCCATCTTCTTCAGTCAACACCACCAGCGACTCAGCCACCGGTTACAACGTTCCCACCACTTCCTAAAACCACAATGCCACCATTGCCTCCAAATCTTCCTCAACCAACTCTTCCTCAGCCAACACTTCCCCAACCAACTCTTCCTCAGCCCACGGCGTTTCCACCATTACCGAGCACACAGATGCCTACTTTACCTAACCCAACACAGCCCATTAACATCCCAAACTTCCCACAAATCAACATCCCTAATTTCCCATTTAACATCCCAAACAACTTCCCATTCAATCTTCCCACCAGCATTCCTACCATCCCATTCTTCACTCCACCACCATCCAAATGAGAAGCTAAGCTCTTTAGCACATCATCAATCTTTGTATTCACACTTTGTTTGCTTAATATTCAATGTTTGTAATGTTTCATAAACGTTTGCTGTTGTTTTTGTTGTTTGTTATTGTTTTTGCCATGATTCAGTTGCTCTTGTAAAATATACAAGCTTATATAATTTATTATGAGTAGTTTGCCTAATTAACGTAACTAAAAGACGATTATCAATTTATCATCCATGAAGTTCCCTGAAATGTTTGCAACGCATATTTCATGAGACATTCTATATATATATAAAAAAAGACATGGTGCTTGTTGCTATATCAAAAAGACATGAATTGTTTATTCAACACATTGTCAGTCATGTAAAATTGAATACATCAAAAACAATTAAAGGGCTCTCAGAGTTTCTTGAAATCATATGGAATTTGCATGGAACAAGGCTCCCATTTTTAAATTTTGCACAAAGTGTGCATGTTCTCTCATAGTATATGTAGATATGATTTTACTTATTTTATACGTTTTACTCACCCACCCTTCCATTTGAAGACATTATATAAGGAGAAAAAAAGACTCAGCAAACCTCCTACTTATTTTATACTTTTTTTTTTTTTGCATTTGAGAGCAAACAAACCTCAGTCATCCTAGACCAAATCCCAGCAAAAAGCATAACTCTTTATTCTTCGAAATCCAACTAGGCCAAACTATCACTTTTTTTTTCTTCTTAATGACATATTTAAGACATGTAAAATGTAACGTTATGCAGGAGTCTTAGACACAAAGAGACGAGAGAAAGACCCAGACGAAAAAGACAGTGATGAGTCTCCTAGTCAGAGGAAGACGAGACACATGTATCTCTAGTTTCTAACGAAATTAGGCTTGTTTGTGTAGATGAGATTTACTTGTTATTAACATGCGGATAATCAGAGAGTCTCGTAGTGCTTCCATGCGTCGCAGAGAAGACCAAGACGATTATGAATCTCGTAGTCAGAGGAAGACGATACATGAGTACAGGTCTCTTCTTTCTTCCTCACAACTAATTGGTTTCAAATGGAACTAGGCTTTCTAGATAAGATTATTAACATCTGCTGGGTCTAGGTTGAACAAAGACGATAAGTCTCGTAGTGCTTCCAGGGGTCGCAGAGAAGACCATGACGATGATGCGTCTCGTAGTCAAGGAAGACGAGACAGTACATGTTTCTCTTTTTTCTCAAGGTCATAAAATACATGTTTGAATTCTCCTCCTCCTCTCTTTTAAACTTAAACTGGAAACTTTTAAGACATGTAAATTGTAACATTATGCAGAGATCCTTGACACAGTTGGTAGTGGTTACATCAAATGGATTCAGCTAATCTCAAACTGCCTTGTTATTGCCCTCAGACTTTTTATTCTCTCTCGAACAGGGTCAAAGAGAAAAAGTGTCTGCATCATAGCATTTGGTTTCTCAACATGTGGGTTCCTAATTCTTCTCCACGCCTGGAGATATCAGGATGATATGTTTGACGATTATGGAGCCACTGTAACAGCAAAACTTATCTATATGTTTCTTTCTCTATCTGCCATTGGAGCTGCTTTGATGTTGCCATGGTCTATGCTAAACAAAGACAAGTCCTTTCTAGCTGAAGCAGGTGATTGCTTGTATTTGATGGGCTTTGCATACATACTGTGCTGGTGTCTTCTACAGTTACTTCTCCAACAACCGATAAACTTTGGGGCCATACTTTTGCTGCTCATCCAAATCTTAGCAATTTCAAGTCTTTCTTCTAAAGATTTTCGGGTCAAAGAATAGGTTGATGTTAGTTGATCTGTGATTCAAACCGCAACAAGCTCATCGATTTAAGCTCTTAAGGTTTGTGCTTTTTCTCTTCTTTTTGTAGATTGCTGCACTCTACTACATGGGAATGGCAGGTCACTTTGCTTTTGGAAACAGCAATACTTTAGCAACCATAGACGTTGCTGGTGCTTTTATCGTAAGCAATTCGTGCTTCCTCTTACTTTCTCCTAATTTGCGTTCTGTGTGTGTACTCTTTACCCAAACACTGACGCATTCAACCAAAAAAAACCTTTTTCTCAGGGAATCTCTAGTCATTCTACAATACTTTCAGGGATCTTGATGTTCATGATCACCTATGCATCTCCCTTGCTGTTCCTTTTGTCCCTTGTCATGTACATTGGTGCAAAGCTAAGAAACCACTCACACTCTCACGGAGACACGAATATCGGACAAGCCTTGCAGCTAAATCTCGGATTCCCTTGCCTCGTTCCACTCTGCATCACTTCAATACTCTTGACTGCATACATTGCGGTTTTGCTACTAATGAGGAATCATCTCTTTGTGTGGAGTGTCTTCTCTCCCAAGTAAGTCTTTTGACTCTGTCTTTTGTATGAAACGTCTGATTCATCCAAAACCGGATCTCACTAGACCTATCAAAGTTTTGTTGCTGATTGTGTTGGTGAACAATGGATCAAACAGGTACCTATATGTGTGTGCAACCACTCTCTGCACATACATTGGAGTCTGTATCGTCGCTGTTACTGTAACCTACACATTCTCTGTCACTACCTTCCTTAGATGCAACGCAACAACAACTCGTAGACTCGTAGTTAATTTTGGTCTTTCTTATGTAGGCAGAGAGATACTATTTGATGTTGTAGAACACTAAAGATACCGGTTAAATTGATTTTTTTTTTGCTAACTCATATCTTTAATTTATTATTAGTAAGTTAAACTATATTATTATTAACTTTTGGAAGTATAATTGTGTAATGTCTAATAAGTTGATGAAACAAATATGAGACCAAAGAAAAAAATCAATTGTTAATAAGAAAGTCTTTACTACTTTGTTGTGACTTTAGTACATTGAAGACTAATGGCTACTAAGAAATAAAGAGTTTCCACAAGACAAAGATAAAACAAAAACTAAACAAAAAGCTTCTTCTTGATCTTCTCTCTTACGTAAAACATAGGAATCGGCAAGTGTCTCGGCGACGGAGCACCACCCATCGTGACTGAATCAGCAAACAATGCTCCTTCTTGATTCTGCGGCGGCACAGTCTTGATCGTGGTGCACGGAGCTTGAACCGGAACCGGTTTAGATTGCGACGGCTCTGAGTGTTTGATAGGAGCTTCTTGTGGTTTAGCGTAACGCTTCAAGGCCGAGACAGGAACCTTTCGAGGAACATGTAAGACAGAGACACGAGAGAAGTAGTGAAAACTGATTCCGTGTTTCGTAAGAAACGGAACGGCAAAAACGTCTCTGGCGAGGAAACGCTGTGTTAACACAATCGACATGTCTTGATGCGAGTTTTGATCGGAGAATAAAGATAGACTTTTGGATAAGTTCTGTGTTCTTTAAACGAGCAAGAGAGCTTAATCGAATGATTGAGAGAAATTATGTGGAGAGAGGGTTTAATTTATAGGGTTTCAGTTCTCATCTTCAAGTCCAAATAAGGAAATTAAAGAACCAAAGAAAAAGGAAATATATGTGCCCGCGTTGTGTTCGTGTGATGGATGTTTCCTTTTTTCTCTGATTGATACAAATAAATAAAAGATTTTTCTCGTCAACAAACAAAAAAAAAACTGAACGTTTTAGAATTTCAAATTATGAAGAAATCTGAACGCTGTAAAAAAGTTAAAACGTTTATTTACGACTGCACTCAACTTTTCCTAATGAAGTGATTATTCACAAATATTTATCCTTTACTACTTGTTAACTTTTACAAAAAAAATGAACCATAATTAATCAAATACTGTATCTGTTTTTTTGTTGACGAGAGAAAAAGCTAGCTGTAGAAAAGTAATTATCCTCAATATATTCGATGGATCAATTATATTGAACCAAAAGCAAACGAATTGTTTTCGGGTTACAAATGAAAGCCATCGGATTGTTTACAATATTATATTTCATATGGATTATAACAACTTTATATTTTTAAATAAATAAGATATTATTGTTTACCAAATTAATATTAAATTGGTATTCTATTTTTGTTTGGAGGAATTCAAGATCAGCAAAAATGAGTTTGCTTTTTTTTCGATATTACAAATTTGATGCGCACAGAAAAACGGATAAGTTAGCACGAGGTACTCAGATATGCTTTCATCATCATTATGCCAATTCAATTTCACCAACTTGGTTTAATAAGTCGTTGAGACATATAAGGCTGTTGATAAAAAAAATTGTTTTGCAAACTTTAAATATTTCGTAAGTAATTAATTTAATTTAAATCATAAAACCGGTAACCTAAACAGTTTTTGAAGTCTGGGGGTTGGTCAACAGAGACTAGTGTCATACGTATAGTTGGTTCTAGTGACCCATCTTTCTTGTTAAACAAGTTACTGTTAACAGTTGCACCAACAATAAATCCTCCTCACACTTCCCCCAACCTACTTCTCATCAAACCACAAATCATGAATCCTTTATAAACACAATCACACACAACACAAACTTCATCATCGCTCAAAACAATCAGCAATCAAACCCAAAATCACTCACCTCTCTTACCGATCTCTAGTAACAAACTCAAACCCTAAATCCCCCAAAATGGCTCAGTACTGGTTATCATCTCTGGTCATTGCACTGACATTCACAAGCTTTTTCACCGGTCTCTCTGCCCGTCGCCATCTTCTTCAGTCAACACCAGCGACTCAGCCACCGGTTACAACGTTCCCACCACTTCCCACAACCACAATGCCACCACTGCCTCCTTCTCTCCCTCAGCCAACTCTCCCCCAACCCACAGCGTTTCCACCATTACCGAGCACACAGATGCCTACTTTGCCTAACCCAACACAGCCCATTAACATCCCAAACTTCCCACAAATCAACATCCCTAATTTCCCAATTAACATCCCAAACAACTTCCCATTCAATCTCCCCACCAGCATTCCTACAATCCCATTCTTCACTCCACCCCCTTCCAAATGAGAAGCTAAGCTCTTTACCAGTTACCACATCACTTTGTATTCACACACTTTGTTTGCTTAAAATTCATTGTTTGTAATGTTTCATAAACGTTTGCTGTTGTTTGATGTTTTTGTTGTTTGTTATTGTTTTTGCCATGATTCAGTTGTTCTTGTAAAATATACAAACTTATATACTTTCTAATGAGTAGTTTGCCTTCTTCGTCAGAAAACCATTGCATACCAATCAAAGGAAATACATGAAAACCATCCTCTTCTGCTCATGTATTTCCTTTGATTAGTGTTTCTTTTAAAGAGTCAGGTCCAGATCTAGGTCCAAACTTATGTCCAGACAGACCTAGACCCAGAAATAAGCCTAATATATAGCCCAAATGAGTTTCGAAGTAAACCGTTTGTATTGTCAACAACGAACTATTTCACATTTTGCTTTTCTATGCTACTACTTGAAAATCTATATTACTAAAACACGGCAATTTTTTTATAAAAAAAAATCAACCACAACATGAATTGTTTATACAACACATCGTCAATCATGTAAAATTGAATACAGAAGAAGGCATCAAAAAACAACAAAAGGACTCTCAGTTTCATAAAAACATATGGAATTTGCTTGGAAAAATCAATGCTTCCATGATAAAAAAAAAAACTGATGAAAAAAAATGTTCCAATCAGGAAATACATAAAAAATATTTTTCTAGATATATATTAAATATATAGATAAATAATTTTGATCAAATATAATTTATCATGTCAGTTACTACACTGTAGACAATTTCACTAACCTAAGTAAGATTGAAAATGTTGATTTTGAAGAATTGTTTACAACCTGTTGTGATTGTCATACCATGCATTGAAGCACTACTATACTATTATGAAATAAAAAAACAATATAAGTTGATTTTCATGTTCTATTATGAAATTTATGTTTCAATTTTGTTTAAATTTTGCACAATTTGTTTACCTATATATTTTTCTGATTCTTCGAACTTGAGTTTTCGGCTACATAAAGGTTCTGATAGAGTTTCTTTATTGTTTACTACCGAAGATATTTCAATCTCATCAATGACAAATGGAAGACATCTTGAGGTCATTCTCATCCTCTGTTGTCTGGAATGTCAGTTCCATACTGAAAATCCATGTGGTAAAACTAGTGCTTATTTTCAGATCTTTTTTAATTGGAAATCAGACAATATATTATCGTTGTAATATCAAAGATCAAACTTCAATATCTCGTTATATAATTTTAGATACATCGAATTTATCTTATCGATCTCGCTTATTATCTTTATATCAATTTTCTTTTTTCAATTTTTAATAAATTGTTATATTTTATGTCTTACAATTTTTAGTTTTGATTTTTTTTTAGTTGTATAGCGAATTTTTTTTAACATATTAGTTTAATTTTTGGTCTTATAATTTCTTTTTCTTTTTTCTTAATCTTGTTACCTAGGATTACACAAAAAATTAAAGTTTCAAACTATTAATTTAAAATTGAAAATATTTTTAATAGTAATACTTTTATGATATTTCTAAATTGAATTTCCTTTTCATTTTTTTTCTTTATTCTTTAATAATGTTTAAAATGTTTTAATGCAAATCACCAATCTTATATATTAATAATTGGACACATGTTAACTTAATATTTTTTTATCACCTTGTGTTACTAATCAGATTCTACAATATATTAGAGATATCTCCATTAAAATTTGTTCATTATAATCAGTTTCACAAAGTATAAATGATCGAATTCAAATATACTAGAGAACAAATTTCCCGCCCGAGAAAAGACTTCTTAAAAAAAAAAGTGGGAGTTTTGAAAAAGTCAAACGTCAACTCTCGGCCACTCCAACATCCTCGGTGACACGTCACACGTGCAAGTTTGTAATAAAGATCTAAAGAGGAAGACGTGCAATGGCGTTGGATGATTTTTTATATTATTATTTTTTTTCTAGAGAATTGTTAATTTTTGTAACCTTCAAATTTACGTTTTTTCGTCTTTTGACCTTTTCTTTCTTCCTCTCTGGATATTGGAGAGATAAGAGATTCATTAAATTTTTCTTTCACAGAGGATCATTTTCTGATTTTGGATACCTAAGATTCTATAATATGATCCGAATTTAATAGCAGCATTTAGTATGATCTGGTGTAAGAGCAGAGAATTTCAATGGTCGGTGATCAAAATCCAGAGAGCTTTTATCTGAATTTTTTTTATAGGATTTTCTTAAAATTATAAGTCTGATTTGTTGTGTGTGTGTGTGTGTTAATCACAGATCTGTTGTTCTGAGTTTGGCGATTTATTTTTTATGATTAGGCTTTAGGACAAGACGAAGCTGAAATAGAAAAGTAATCCAGTGGAATCATGCTTATCTTGGCGTTCGCGATCGCTGCCATCGTCGCCGTCGTTTGGATTTTCTTCAAGTATGTGTTCACTTTGTTTCTCATTGGTGTTTATGTTTTAATCTCAAACTAATCAGGGTTTAATCTCGTACAAAGGAACTTAGATATCTCTGATTTACAAACCGTTTTTGTAAGAACATAGCAATTAGGATTTAGGTGCATAAGATGTTTTCTACAATCAACTATTGAATCTTTATATTCATTTTATTCAAGGTCACTCCCTTGGATTCTCCGGTGTTTCGCCGGAATAACTCTTAGTTATCAGTTTGATGGATGGAATTGCTTGAAGGATGTTGTATTACATTTCAAGAAGGTTTGTTTGCTTGCTACTTATGTCTTTTAATTTTGTAATTTGATTTATAACTAACTCAAAGAGTCTCTGATGTTTCTTGTTATTTTACTAGGGCTCTATTGAATCTATAACCATTGGAGAATTTAAAGCGAGTCTAAGTCAATCTTTGGTTGAACTTTGTGCCAAGGCTTTAATCCAAGATCCTAAAGTTATATTCTCTATATGTGACCTGAAAATTGTAACCAGACCTTCAAGTAAAGGTCCTCGCAAGAAATCGAAATCAAAAACTCGAAAATCGCGCTCTGGTGGCAAGGGAAAGCTGATGCTACTCGCTAATATCGGTAGATTCTTTTCGGTTTCTATGACAAATATGGTTGTGCAGGTAACTATATTGTTGAAATCTTCTTTCAATGTGTTTCTTATAACATATTCTTTATATAAAACTCATTAGATGAGACAACATTAGTCTTTTCTTGAATTATACTAACCATAGATGAGACAATATTAGACATTTCTTGAATTATACTAACCATTGATGAGACAATATTAGGCATTTCTTGAATTATACTAACCATAGATGAGACAATATTAGGGATTTCTTGAATTACACTAACCATAAATGAGACAAGATTAGGCACTTCTTGAACTATATACTAACCATCTTTTTCTTTTTCTTTGTAATCGTTGTTGTTATTTTAAATGCAGACACCTAAAGCTAAAGCAGAAATCAAGGAGATAGAGCTTGATTTATCTAAAGAAAGGGGTTCAGCAAATTTTTTCATCAAACTGTACCTCTTGCCAATATTTGTACAAATCGGTGATGAGCCACATGTTATCGCAGAGGACTCTTCTTCTTCGTCTTCTTCTTCTCTTCTTTGTGAAAAACTTTCCTTCTCCTGCGAATTCGGTCATAACAGGTACTTTTTAGGCTTTACTTACTTCTTACATTTAGCACATTTCTTTTGATATTCATGGATGCTATTTTTGTGATCTTCTTGGAGCAGACAGTCAAGTTCGAGTATAAAGAACGTCGAAGTAGATATAGCAGATACTGTTTTTAACCTCAATGAGAAGCTGCTGCTGAAAAAAAAAGCTTCGACGAGTGTTACTTCCACTGGTGAAGTGATTGGCTCATCAAGTTCTGTTCACACAGCTTCAGAGAAACCTCAAAAGGAACCAGTGAATGTTTTGGTTGCAAAGAATGCTTCAAAATTCCCTGAGAAAGTGAGTAATTATGTCCTTAAGCTATGCAATTAGCAACCATGTAAGACTAAATTACAAGAAAGGTGTTAATTAGTGCATATTGTAAAGTTCTTAACCCTTTGCCTTTGACTCTTTATGTGGTAGGTATCATTTGATATGTCACAGCTTGATATCAGATTTGTGCATCAAGAACATGATTTTTCTATAGCGAATAGCGTTACAGGGTTTCGGTTGAGAAGCACCAAATCTCAATCCGGTGAAGATGGCAAGGAAGAAGAACCATTTCTTGATATTGTCTTGGAACTCAGAGAGATTCATGTATGTTCAATAACAAGTTTTCTTAGTATCAATTTCGTTTTTTTTTCTTTTTGTAAGTAACCATTTCTTTAAACTTCAGCTTATTAGAGAATCTGAAGTTTCTGTATTGGAGATGTCAAGAATTGAAGTTTCCTCCAAGGTGTATTGTCCAATGCAAGTGAGTCCTCTGAGTTAGATACTGTAAATTCGAACATAAGGGTTTCAAGATTATGATGTGTTTACATGATCTTCTCAGGAATCTTCTCCTGTTAAAGCTGAGGTTGAGGTTAAGCTTGGTGGTATAATGTGCAACATCATCATAAAGAGATTTGAGCCATTGTTGCGTTTGCACTTCTCAAGAAAGAAAAAGATTGTTCTCAAAGAGGAAAAACCAAATACTGTAAAATCAGAATCTACAAGTGGTTTCAAGGCTGTTGTATGGAGATGTGTCACTTCAATCCCCAATATAACGATTGTGTTATACAATCCAGAAAGCTCTCCTTTATACCAAGTAAGTATTAACAAAGGTTTAAGCAAGAATCTTCACTACTCAAAATCTCAAAACTGGTTCTGTTTATTTGCAGTGCTGCTTTGATTCGTTACTTGTCACTGCAAACAACACGTCAAGTAAAGGAATATTTGTGAAGATGGAGCTCAAAGAACTGGATCTATGCATGGTTGATGAACATCGAGTATGTTTGAAAGAAAGCCTTTTTGGTCTAGAGTCATCAGCTTCAGGTTCATTAGTCAATGTAAGAGATGTCAGATTGGAGCATGGCAAGAAAGATGATGATAAACAGAAACTTGTGGTCGACGTATCAGAGATCGGTCTGTTGTTTTCTTTCAAGAGCTTCGAAGCACTCGTGGTGAACGCAATGTCGGTTCAAGCTTTCGTCAAGAGTTTAACCGGTGGTAGTAGTAGTAGCAAGAACACGCAGGAGAAAGGTGTGAATAGATCCAAGAAGCCATCATCGGGAAGAGGGACTCAAATCTTGAAACTCAACGTTGAACGTTTCTCTTTGAACTTCTCTGGAGACTCGAGCCTAGACAATACAGTCATCGACGATCCGAAACGTGTCAATTACGGATCACAAGGAGGGAGGGTTGTCATTAGCGTCTCTGCTGATGGCACGCCTCGAACCGCTAGCGTTTTCTCTACCTTGTCTACCAAGGAACATGATAAGCTGAAGTACTTAATCTCGTTTGAGTTACTCAAGTTCGGGTTTACTCTAAACAAGGAGATTCAGTCTACGCAGGTCGAGCTCGTGAACGCGAGATCGGTCTACCAGGAGTTCTTGGATGAGCCTCACCCGGTTTCAAGAGTGACGCTCTGCGACATTCAGAACGCTAAGTTTGTGCGTCGTAACGGCGGCGTTAAGGATGTTGCGATCTGTTCTCTCTTCAGTGCCTCTAACATTGTCGTTAGATGGGAGCCTGACGTGCATATATCAATGGTTGAGCTTGGCTTGCGTTTGAAGTCTTTGGTCTCAACTCAGAAACTTAAGCAGCACGGTAACAGAAACCAAGAAGATGGTGATAGACCTAAACAAGAACCAACTACTACTAGTTCGAGCTCTGTTGATAAGCCAAAGAAGAAGGAGTCTATATTTGCTGTTGATGTAGAGATGTTAAGCATATCCGCAGAAGCAGGGGATGGTGTGGAGGCTGAGGTGCAGATTCAGTCGATTTTCTCGGAGAATGTTCGTATCGGTGTGCTCTTGGAAGGGTTTACGCTTGGCTTTTGTGGATGTAGGATATTCAAAAGCAGCCGTGTACAGGTTTCAAGAATACCTAGCTTGACTTCGACTTCATCGAACTCGAAAACAGAATCATCATCAGGAACTCCATGGGATTGGGTAGTTCAAGGTCTTGACATACATATATGTATGCCTTACAGACTACAACTCCGTGCTATCGATGACGCTGTTGAAGAAATGCTTAGGGCTTTGAAGCTTGTGACCAAAGCTAAATCCAATCTCATCTTGCCTGTGAAAAAGGAAAGCTCAACGCCGAATAAAAAACCAGGCACGAAGAAGTTTGGTCGTGTAAGACTCTGCGTTCGGAAGTTAATGTTTGAAATTGAGGAAGAACCAATCCAAGGCTGGCTTGATGAGCATTACCATCTTATGAAGAAAGAAGCGTATGAGTTAGCCGTGAGGTCCAAGTTTCTTGATGAGTTGATTTCTAGTGGAAACCAGGTTGCTAAAACCGGGGGAGATGATGAGTCAGATGGTTCTGATCAGAAGAAGATTTCTTTCGAGGGAGAAGACATCGACACGCAAGATGCTGAAGAGATCCGAACGATGAATGAGAAGTTATGTAAACAATCGTTTGATTCGTATTACAGGTCATGTCAGAGTTTAAAAACTTCAGATGGTTCAGGTGCATGTAAAGAAGGGTTTCAGTCCGGTTTCAAGATGAGCACTTCAAGGAAGTCTCTTCTCTCTGTCTCTGTTACTGATCTTGATCTGAGTATTACAGCTATTAGTGGAGGTGAAGCAGGGATGATAGAAATGGTTAAAGAACTTGATCCTATATGTCAAGAGAAGGACATACCTTTTTCGAGGTTGTATGGATGTAATCTCAAGTTAAACACAGGAACTCTTGCTGTTCAACTTAGAGACTACACGTTTCCTCTTCTCTCAACAACTTTGGGTAAATCCGAAGGCCGTCTTGTGCTGGCTCAACAGGTAAGTTTAAGAAAAAAGTTTGATGTTCTCTACAACACTTTGGTGTGCTTTTAACAGTTGTGTTCTTCTTCTTTTGACATAGGCAACAGCTTTTCAGCCTCAGATACTCCATGATGTGTACGTAGGAAGATGGAGGAAGGTGCAGATGCTACGTTCAGCTAGTGGAACAACACCTGCAATGAAAACATACATGGATTTGCCGATAAAGTTTCAGAGAGGAGAGGTCTCTTTTGGGATTGGTTATGAACCAGTGCTTGCTGATTTAAGCTATGCCTTCACAGTGGCTCTTCGTAGAGCTAACCTCAGTCTCAAGGGTCCTGGACTTATCCCACCTCCCAAAAAGGAGAAAAGCTTACCATGGTGGGATGAAATGAGGAACTACGTCCATGGGAACATAACACTGTCGTTCTCTGAGACAAAGTGGATCGTTCTTGCAACTCCTGACCCTTATGAGAAGCTTGACAAGCTTCAGATGAATTCCGCCAACGTGGAAATCCGGCAAACAGATGGTCGAATCAACTTCTCAGCCGAGGACATAAAGATTTTCATGAGCAGTTTTGAGAACTTGGCTAGACATTACCCTAACTCTTTACCTTGCCCACCAAGCTACCCATTCCTTGCGGTCCCACGTTTCAGCCTCGAAGTCCGGATGGATTGGGAATGCGAATCCGGAAACCCGTTTAATCATTATCTCTTTGCTTTACCTGTTGAAGGAAAGGCTCGTGATAAGATCTATGATCCTTTCAGGTCTACTTCTCTCTCGCTACGCTTTGATTTCTCCTTAAGACCTGAACAAGCAGAAAATCCTAAGAAACCGTCTACTTCCCCACCCGAGATCAACATTGGCTCTCATGACCTTGCATGGCTGATAAGATTCTGGAACATGAACTATCTTCCTCCTTACAAGCTCCGGACATTCTCACGGTGGCCTCGCTATGGAGTTCCAAGAATCCCAAGATCAGGGAACTTGTCTCTGGACAGAGTGATGACAGAGTATATGCTCCGTGTTGACGTTGCTCCCATCTGTATAAAGCATTTGCCGCTTGATCCTGATAACCCTGCAAGAGGCTTGACGTTTAACATGACTAAGCTCAAATATGAAATGTGCTTCAGCCGTGGAAACCAAGAATTCACTTTTGATTGCAAGCGTGAGACTCTTGATCCGGTTTACCAAGGCATAGACCTCCATGTGCCTAAAGCGTTCTTGAAAAGAGATCATCAGATTTGCTCTAAGCCGGTTCAGATGTCAAGAACAAGCTCACAATCTGGATCATCTGATAAAGCTAAGAACGAGAACGGCGGTGACTGCACGGAGAAGCATCCTGACGACGGGTTTCTGTTTTCGTCGGATTACTTCACCATCAGGAGGCAAGCTCCTAAGGCTGATCCTGAGAGATTGTTGGTGTGGAAAGAGGAAGGCAAGATATACCGCGAGAAAGTAGATGCAAGAACTACAAACGAGAAGGAGAGTAGTGAAGCTGAGGAGAATTCGCATTCGGATCCGAGCGATGATGATGGATACAATGTCGTGATAGCAGACAACTGTCAGCGTATCTTTGTTTACGGTCTGAAACTGCTGTGGAACATTGAGAACAGAGATGCTGTTTTGTCTTTTTTCGGTGGGATGTCTAAAGCGTTTCAACCACCTAAGCCTTCTCCATCACGTCAGTATGCTCAGAGAAAGTTACTTGAAGGCAACAAGAAGGATTCTGATTTAGAACCTCCTCAAGATGACAATCTCACTTCCCAACAATCCAAGGAGCCTGTGGAAGTTCCTTCACCTTCTTCTGAACCAATCAAAACAGAGAACTTTGCATCTTTCCCACTTGGTAAGTCTCTCAATATGTCATTTCCCTCTTAGTTGTGTTTACTTTCTGTACACGTAAGCTTCATCTTCTTGATTTTGTCTCCATACAGAAGCCACAAAGAGTGGCAATTCAAATGGTTCAGAGGAAGAAGGAACTCGGCATTTTATGGTTAACGTTATTGAGCCACAATTCAATCTCCATTCAGAAGACGTAAATGTAAGTGTATAAGATCAAAAATCAAACTTGAGAGTCTTAACAACATTACTTGAAAAAAAAAAGATTATGCATGCAAGAATACAAACGTTTTCATATGGTTCTGATAAAGATTTGTTATTCCTTAATTCTATCAGGGTAGGTTTTTGCTCGCTGCTGCAAGTGGACGTGTCTTGGCACGATCGTTTCATTCGGTGGTTCATGTTGGGTATGACATGATTGAGAAGGCGGTTCAGAATGAGAATGATCATCGTAATCATGAAAACGATGGCACAGACCTGACGTGGACACGCATGGAAGTGTCTATGATGTTGGAGCATGTACAAGCTCATGTGGCACCAACAGATGTTGATCCAGGAGCTGGTGTACAATGGCTCCCAAAGATTAGAAGAAGCTCCCCAAAGGCCAAACGTACTGGTGCACTGCTCGAACGAGTCTTCATGCCCTGTGACATGTACTTTCAATACACCAGACATAAAGGTGTGACTCCTGACCTAAAGGTGAAGCCATTGAAAGAGCTTACTTTCAACTCACGCAATATTACAGCGTCGATGACATCACGTCAGTTTCAAGTTATGTTGGATGTTTTGTCCAATCTTTTGTTTGCAAGATTACCAAAGTAAGTGTATCCTTAGACTATATCTTATTAACACTTCTTCTTTCGTGGCTTCTTGACTATATATATCTTGTTATTCAATTCAGGCCTCAGAACGACAGTTTGAAACTTTCTGGTGAAGAAGATGATGAAGGTGAAGAGGAGATCGATGAGGTGGTTCCTGATGGCGTTGAGGAAGTGGAGCTTGCGAAGATCGAGCTTGAACACAAACAGAGGGATAAGATGTTGCTTCTTGATGATATTAGAAAACTGACGCAGAGCGAAAGTAATTCAGGAAACTACACAAATCTTGAAAAGAAAAACGACTGGATGATCACATGTGGGAAGCCAATACTGGTGAGAAAATAGTGTTGTATTCAAAAATGTAAAACAAAAAAATGGTAAACTAAAGTATCTCTCTTCTTATATATGTTAAGGTGGAAGAATTGAGGAAAGGTTATCTCAATGTGAGACAATCTAGGAAGACAGCTTATACGGCCCTGCGTGTTTCTGTGAAGAATGCTGCAGAGCTAAGGTTGCTGGAGAAAGATAAGAACAAGAGACCTTCATCGGCCATGCGCATCTCTTTGCAGATCAACAAAGTCGTTTGGTCTATGCTTTTAGATGGCAAAACATTCGCTGAGGTTGAAATCGACAATATGGTAACTTCTTGATCCGGTCTAGTTTCTTGGTTCATTCATTATAGACACTGAACAAGAAACTCTTGTGTAAGATGTTACATATATTGCTTGCAGGTTTATGATTTTAACAGGGACTTGAGAGATATTGGGATTGCTCAATTCACAACAAGATACTTTGTCCTAAGGAACTGTTTGCCTAATGCCAAGTCTGATACTGTTTTGTCAGCTTGGAATCCTCCTCCAGAATGGGGCAAGTGAGTTACAGATTCTTTATCCAATCTTAGCGCTCACTTTGAAAAAAAAGTTTATGAAAAATTCAATCCAAAATCTGAGTGTTTTTTTTATATTGGATACAGTAAAGTGATGTTACAGGTAGATGCAAGACAAGGGATCCCAAATGATGGACAAGCTCCTTATGAACTCTTCCAGGCAAGTCCCTTCTTTATCTTACATGAACAAATGAAACTAGAAGAATCAAGAAGCTTGAGCTTAGCTTAAAATGAAGTTCTCCTGTGTTTCCTTGACAGGTTGAAATCTATCCTCTAAAAATCCATTTGACAGAGACAATGTACACAATGATGTGGGAGTATATCTTCCCAGGAGAGGAGCAACATTCCCAGAGAAGAGAGGTTTCTTGTTCATTCATTCTAGTAAGATATTGTTATAGCTTGTTTGCTAAGCAAGCTAATGGCTCGTGGTCGTGTTTCGTCTTCCAGGAAGTTTGGAAGGTGTCTACAACGGCGGGATCAAGGCGAGTCAGGAAAGGTTCATTCGCTCAAGAAGCGGCGGCGTTGCTCTCTACCTCCGATCTAGGCCAGGTTAAATTTTGCTGCTGCCTTATTCTTACATTTCATGTTCATCTCTTGTAATCTTGAAAATGTTTTTTCAGAGTTCAAAGAATCAAAACCCAAAGTCAAGATCGATCCGTAGCTCAGGGCCAGAGCTGAGGAGAACGTCTTCTTTTGACAGAACATGGGAAGAGACTGTGGCGGAATCAGTAGCTAATGAGCTTGTTCTACACTCCATGGAGCATCAGAGTGAATCCTCGAAAAACAAGCTGAAAGATTCAAAAACTACAAAAGCTGGTCGTTCTGTTCATGAAGAGAAGAAAGTGGAGAAGTCAGTGGAAGACAAGAAGTCGAGGCCTCAAAAGATTATGCAGTTCCAGACCATCAAGATAAGTCAGGTGGAACTGATGATCACTTACGAAGGATCAAGATTTGTTGTCAACGATATGAAGCTGTTGATGGACACGTTTCATCGAGTTGAGTTCAGTGGAACGTGGAGGAGACTCTTCTCTCGAGTGAAGAAGCATATCATATGGGGAGTCCTAAAGTCAGTAACGGGAATGCAAGTAAGAAACCAGACTTGTGTGTTCATTTGATGCATATTGATATGGTGGTTTTATGTGTCCCCTGACTTTGTTTTCATTTGATGTTACTTGTAGATGAAGAAATTCAAAGACAAAACTCATGTTCCGAAAGATGAGATTGGTTTGAGAGACAAAGAAGAGTCCGGGAGATCAGATCAAGATTCAGGTGCGTGGGTGAAGCGTGCTGGCGACAATGCAGGTGATGGGTTCGTCACATCGATTAGAGGTATTTTCAATACGCAAAGACGAAAGGCAAAGAAGTTTGTGCTTCGAACGATGAGAGGAGAGACAGAAGAGAGCTTCCCAGGAGAGTGGAGTGACAATGAATCAGACTTCTCTCCTTTCGCAAGACAATTGACGATTACTAAAGCTAAGAAACTCATCAGGCGTCACTCTAAGAAGTTCCAGAATCAAAACACTACTAAAGGTTTGGTTTCTTGCTACAAAAGTTACTCGTTTTTTTGACGTCAAGTTATGAAAGTTGCAAACCCTAAGATAAGAGAAACAACTCTCTCTCTCTCTCTCTCTCTATCTCTATGTTGTGTTGTAGGTTCTAGGAAGTCACAGCTCTCGCCTACTCTGTCTCCTAAGGAAGAAGATCGATACGAAAGCGATTCTTCTAGTGGATCTTCTGCTTATGAAGAGTTTCTTGACCAGAATCAAATTTAAGATAGCATTCAAAAGTTTTGTTTTTTTTAATTCCTCTCGTTAAGGAGTTCCATCACTTTTACACTCTTTCAAGATTAGATTTCATACACTGTACTAGCGTAGTGTTGATAAGAGTCGTTTTATGGAAGAAGAAAGTTTTGTTTTGGGAATCATACATATTGGGCTTTTTACGTTGGAGTCTTGTATTGTATGTACTGAAAGCAACAAATTGTTTCATAAAAGCATATATTTTTGCACAAATATGTATAAACAAGAAACATTGCACATTTGATTTACTTTGATGAAGCTGATTTATACTATATAGTAGCCAGGTTTACGCACATGGTCGTGAGGCAAAAGGTTTTAGTAAGTTGCCGTCGAAAGAAAAGTTGTATTCTTGCAAGTAATGAACATAATTGTAATAACAACATAATTTCATTTAGAAATCTAGTTTTCGTAAACATAAATATATAGTGATTTTGTTGACAAAACAAATATAATAAATAAATAGTGAATTTTTCCAAGATTATTTTATAAATTACATGATAGATGGACCATTTGCCAAAAGAAAAGATAGTTCACCGAATATCTACAGAAATATAGAACCCAATGGTCGAATCATATATCCCTACATTTTGTTGTAGATCCAACATTATTAATATTTAGTCTAACGATCAAACTCAACATCTTGAAATGAACATGCAAAATAATGTCATTGTAGATCTCTACATTTTGTTGTAGATCCAACATTATACATTTAATCCTAGCACTTAGACCTGCAAAATAATGTTATTGTTAGCCGAATTTCAAAGTTATTTTCTTAACCTATATATTTTTATCTTTATATATATAAATCATAAGTGAGTTGTCAATTGTAGGTTTGACATGTGTCATTTATACTTTCATAATCAATTTATTTTTTTACTTTATTTTTCCTTTAATTAAAACAAAAGTAAAGGATTTTTTCTATTCCTAACCACAATTTTCTTAACTTCCACTTTCAAAATCAAAATGAAGCAATTACGTTCTCAATTTCAAATAGATGACCGATTTCTATGTTATTATCATTGTGTTTGTAAATTTGAAACTGTTTTATTTTATTTTATTTCAGATACTATTATAAAAATTAAACATTTGCTTAGGTCAAATCACGTTGACATTGATGTAAACAGGAACTTTAGACACTGCTGCGTTTGGCCAAAAACAGAGATTTGGACGGTATAATCTGGATCCATGTTATTTATTATAGTCCGAAGACGATGGAAGCAACTGTGCCAAATAATGGAAGCAACCGCCCAATGTTCCAAAACAGATATCGGCTCTTACTACATAAGAAAAAATCAAAAACAATTTCGCCAAAACAAATTCAAATCTTAATCTTTGTGAATTGAGTTTGTTTATTTCAGATTTTATATATCTCACTAAATTTACTTATTTTGTAAGAAATACAATTAATGATGTTTGTGTCTGGTGTATTGGACCGGGAATAATACTAATTTAGTATAAACTACAATTCATAATATAATATTTATTTTTTTAGTCTTAAAATAGTTATCATTTCAAGATTAGATTTTTAATTCAAATTAGTTGTCATTTTCAGTTTTCAATATGTAAATTTAACTACAAATCTTATGAAAGATGCCCATTCTTTTTTAAGGGTATAACATAATTTTTAATATGTGTAAAATAACTTTAAATGATATATTTTAAAATATAAGATCTCCATAAAGATTTTACATTACGTGAAGTCGAAATATTTGCGATTAGTCATATGCATCAACGGAAAAATAAATAAATTAATATTACAATATTTTTAATCTTCAAATATATTCAAGCCATTCAAAAGGATAATTACTTTATTTTTTCTCACATCACAAAAATGTTATTTACTAAAACAATTATTTTACCCAAAAAATTATCATCTAAAATCTTTTATTGAGTAAAGATTGTTATAGCTGTTTGATAACAAAGTCACAAAGAAAATTTGGACAAAAATGATAAAAATTTCATGGATACATCGATGTTAACCTTTTCTTTGCTAGGTCATCGCATTGGTTTGATTTGATGACTAGCACGTATGGTTTAATCATGATGAAATTTCATCGAGCCATAAAACCATAGCTCTTTTCATAATATGATTTGATGACAGTGGCACACAAGATTATCTACAACTAGTCAATATGATTGAAAACGAGGAGTCAGAGTATCTAACTGTTATTTCATATTTTTCTATTTTTTGTATCCTTCACAATACTAATATTCGGACTGATTTTCTTGCGAAAGCATTTGAAAACCATGATCTTAGATTCTCTCACTACGACTGTGGGATACTATGTTTCTGAGATGCTTTTTCAGATTAAGCATATTTGAAACGTAACTTTTTTTTTGTCGAAAAACATATACATTATCATGAATTGATATAATTATGGTACATAGAATTTGTTAGCCATCTAGGCGAATAAATAGTGTCTGACGTAAAACTATTATTTTTTGGGCCATTGCAAGTTAATAAGTATGCTACAATATTACACTCCCGTTTTGTAAATAAGATATTATCGATAGCTTTTCAAGACATCCAGAGACGAATATCATCGAGAAAGTTGGAGATGTTTATATCTGAACCATCATTGTTGCTTAGATTTACTAAAATTTGATAATCTTCTTCAAAACTAAGTTGTTTATATCCCATGTTCCAGACATTTTGTAAAGCTGCTAAAAAAGCTTTTCTTTTTGCTCAAGGCATGAATTTGTAATGCCCAATATTGCTGATCCCCAATATAGACCAGTGCCGTAGCTATCGCGAACAATCCATCCAGCAGTAGTTTGTTGTGTGTCAGGATTGAAAGCAGCGTGATGATTACACTTTAAAGTTCCATGAGCAGGGCGGGACCATGTATGTTTAGGTAGGGACAAGGCATTGTGTGATTTGAAACGTAACTATATTAGGTTTTTTTGCTGTATAAAAAAAAAGATTGTGTCATTGCCGTCTATTTATTAAACCATATCAAGTTAGATGACTAGCACGTATGCCGTATGGTTTAATCATGATGAAATTTCATCGAGCCACAAAACCATATTTCTTTTCATAGTATGATTTGATGACAGTGGCACACAAGAGAGTCAGAGACTATTATTACATATCATTGATTGAAAGGATTCACATATAGATTGTTTTTAGCAGATTTTATATATTTGTAACTTTGCAAAATTAGTTGTAATTAAAAAAAAAAAAATTACATAATATACAGCTATTTCTTAATAGTTAGTTTCACTAATCTGCCACCTAATAATTAATTACATAATAATAAAAGTTTGAATAAATAGAAATTTTGGATTTAATAATTTAATATTGACAGTCAAAAACAAAAGAATAATTTAATTTTTTTTTTCACACAAAAGAATAATTTAATATTGACAGTCAAAAACAAAAAATAATTTAATATTGACAGACAAAAACAAAAGAATAATTTAATATTGACAGACAAAACCAAAAGAGATAACACAGTTTCCAAATGAACAATTATAAAATCTATAAAATATGGAAACAGTTAATCAGAAAAGTTTATACTTATCAAAAATAATAATAACATAGAAATATTGGATATACAATATGTATCTCTGACCTAAGATGTGTACATATTCAAAGCCAGTTTAAGGAAAAAAATTAAAATATACAAACAACAAATAAAAAATGAGAGATTTTATTGTGTATATTTCTTTTTGCGGTTATTTTTCTTCCAAATTTGTTCGAAAATCCCCAAATATTTTCATAAGGCGCCTCTCCACATTTCGTCTCCCTCTCTCTTTAAAACGCCCCAAATCTCTCTCTATCCCTATCCCTCCCATCCTCAACCTCTCAAAGCATCACTCTCTCTATATCTCTCTCGCTCCTCTCTCCGTCCTCAGATCTCCGGAAATGGCCCTTGAAATCCAAGTTCCCTGCGCTTCCGATGGTGTCTGCATGCGGTGCAAGGTGGCGGTTCCATCCGAGGAGTGTCTCACCTGCAGCACATGCGTTACGCCGTGGCACGTGTCGTGTCTCCGGTCTCCTCCCAAAACCCTAGCCTCCACTCAGGCGTGGGAGTGTCCCGATTGCTCCGGCGTCGTTGATCCCGTTCCGGTTTCCGGATCCAACGGGTTTAACCCCGACGGATCAACACTTGTGGCGGCGATTCGAGCGATCGAGGCCGATGAGTCTCTGACCGAGGCGCAGAAGGCTAAGAAGAAGCAGAGGCTGTTGAACGGCAAAGCCGTCGTTGAGGAGGACGAGGAAAAGAGCGAAACGAACCCCGACGGTGTTTTGGCTGCTCTCAAGGAAAGTTTCCAGTGTGTCATCTGCCTCGAGTTGCCTGAGAAGCCGGTCACGGTTCGTTTCTCTCTGGATCTCACTCTCGCTTTTTACTCTCTTGGATTTCTCGTATCAATCGATCAAATTGCGCCTTATGCTTGTGGTTTATGCCATTTAGGGTTTCGTTATCTTCATTTTGGTTGATGAATCTCGCTGTTGGATACGGCTTGGTTATGTTATCGTTATCTTTATTTTGATTGTTGAATCTCGTTCACTGCATTTAGATTGTTGAATCTCGATGTTGGATATGGTTTGTTTAGGTTTTCATTCACTGCTTTTAGGTTGTTGAATACGGCTTGCTTAGGTTTTCGTTATCTTCATTTAGATTGTTGAATCTCGTTCACTGCATACAGATTGTTGAATCTCGATGTTGGATATGGTTTGTTTAGGTTTCGCATTCACTGCATTTAGATTGTTGAAACTTGAATCTCGCTGCTGGTTGTGGTTTTATTTTCGTTTTCCGCTTACCATTTGTGTCGATTGTGTCATTATCCTTCTGCATTTATTGATAAACATAACTATTCGTATGCCGTTAAAACTAAGTTTTTGTGTTGATCAAAGCAAACACTTTGCTTGACTGTTGATTCTCTAACGTTGGTTGTTTAGGTTTTGACAAGTTTGGTGCCTTTGTTAAAGAACATTAACACCTTACTCTTGATGTATATGATCTCGTGAAGTATTGATAGTTTTCTCTTTTATTCGCTGAGATTACACTTTTCATGTACAAGTTTTTACTATGGAAGTAATTATTCTTGACGAGGATGATTAGTATATATCTATTGCTAATGGCTCTCTTGTTCATGTGCCTTTCCAGACATCGTGCGGGCACAACTACTGCCTCAAGTGTTTCCAGAAATGGGCTGCGAAAAGGGGCCGTGCGTGTTGGTGTCGCAAGAAGCTTGCTCAGAAGATGATAGCAAACCCCAGGATCAACCTGACTCTCGTGGCCGCTATTCGTATGGCGAAGGATTCCGGATCTTCTTCTGTGGCTCCTCCTAAGGTGCAGCATTACATCAGCGATCAAGATCGCCCTGAGCAGGCGTTCACAACGGATCGCGCAGTGAAGTCGGGAAAAGCGAATGCGTGTTGCGGCAGGAGAGGTGTGACGTCCCCTACTGACCATTTCGGTCCGATCGGGCCGGAGTACGATCCAAGCAGAAACCGAGGGGTTTTGGTTGGTGACACCTGGGAGGATCGTCTGCACTGTAAGCAGTGGGGGGCTCACAACCCCCACATCGCAGGAATCGCTGGTCAATCCGGTCACGGTGCTCAGTCAGTGGCCCTTTCAGGTGGATATGAAGAGGACCAAGACCACGGAGAATGGTTTCTCTACACGGGAAGGTTTGCTTTCCACTTTAACACATATCTGCTAGGACCAGCCTTGTATACTTGTTCTTCTTTGCCTTTAACTTGTACGAATGTGACTTTCAGTGGAGGACGTAACCTGAAAGGTAACAAAAGAACCAACAAGGAACAGTCGTTTGACCAGAAGTTCAGCAAGGGAAATAAAGCTCTGAAAAGGAGTTGCAAGATGGGATATCCCGTACGAGTTATCAGGTTAGATTTTTGCTTGTTGTATACCTCTTCTATATCCAGATTCATACTATGTGACTAAAGCTGTCTTAACTCGCCAGGACCCACAAGGATAAGCGTTCTGCTTATGCCCCCACTGTTGAGAAAACTGTGAGATACGATGGTGTCTACCGCATTGAAAAGTGTTGGATGAATGTTGGAGTACAGGTTTGGATATTGCTAACAATCCTTTGGTTTGTTTTCACCTCTGGATTTTTTTTAATTTGTTTTATCCCTGATTTACTCTCTTCCGTTTGTAATAGGGCTTTAAGATGTGTCGTTTCCTCTTCGTGAGATGCGACAACGAGGCAGCTCCTTGGACAAGGTTTTGATCCACTCTTCTCTTTTACTTAACAAATCACCTTACTTCTTAGAATATCGCTAGTTATGCTCACCTTTGAAATATAATGGCAGTGATGTTACTGGGGACCGCCCGAGGCCCATTCCTAACGTTCCTGAGCTTCGCAATGCCATTGATCTGTACGAGAGAGAGGATAGTCCATCTTGGGACTTTGATGTAATCCGCTGCTTCTCTCTATTTTTTGATGGAAATATTCTTCTTTCTGGTTCCTTTGTCTATGAACACTTACGCCTCTGTGCGTTGATTCAGGAATCTGATGGACGTTGGAAGTGGGTGAAGAGCCCACCTGCCAGCAGGATGATCGGCGGCATGAACAAAGGCCCAAGGAAGGGAAGAAAGAGTTCCTTATCCATCAGAGACCAGCTTTTAAAAAGTCTGTTTTTTAAAGTATTTTCTTTAGTTGATAAGAGATTTCATCTGATATGACAACAAAAATCTAAACTGTGATATGATATTTTTGTGTTGACGCAGGTTTCGGCTGCCCAATCTGTAAGGACGTGCTGAAATCTCCTGTGTCAACTCCTTGCGGGCATAACTTCTGCAAGGACTGCTTAACAGCCAAATTCGCTGGGATCTCTGTAATGAAGGACAGGAGCAGAGGTGGGCGCACGCTCCGTGCCAAGAAGAACGTCATGAAGTGTCCTTGTTGCAAATACGACATTGCCGAGATTGTCCAGGACCCACAGGTCAGTAACACAAAGTCGCTTCTTCTTCAATTGTTTGTGCATTGCACCCGAAAAGGCGGCAATAACATAGATGTAACGATATCGTTTTGTATTTTTAGTGTGTAGAATACTGACTAACGGAAAATGAGTGATGGACAGGTCAACAGAGACTTCGAGAGTGGGATAGAGAAACTGAAGAAGGAAGAGGAGGAGGAGGCAGCAGCAGAAAAGGCAAAATCGGAAGAGGAATTAAAAGCGGGAGAGGATTCCTCTGACGGAGAATCAGAAGATGAAGACGAAGACGAAGCTGACGAAGAGGGACGCGAAGAACCTCAGATTGTGGCCAAACATGAACCAGCAAGGAAGAAGAGAAAGGTGGCCAGTGTTACTGCCTAACTTTGGCATTGTTTTGCCAATCGGTTAATTATTGTGAAGTTTGTCAAAAACTTTGTTTTTCTGTTTTTAGTACCTCAAAAACGTTGGTCTCTATTTTGAAAATAAATGTTACCTTATTAGGATTTCTTAGATATGGTATGTTGTTTTGAAATGTCGCCAATATTTCTTTATATTTACTTATATAAAATAAATTATTAGAATCACTGTTTGAAGAAAGAAAAAGTGGAGATATATTATTATTACAGTTATTGCTTCCTACTTATCATTATGACGATTTGTTTCTATTTCTTTTCAATTGTTGTATATTTTTACAACGTTCAAGTTTCTTCGTAATTAGATGAAACAAAAAAAAAGATACAGCGTTCAGATTGCTGTTTGTTGACGAGTTATTCATTTTTCTATATGCAGAGAAAAAGGAAATATCAGAGGAAAAGAAAGTGGATATATATATCCCTTTTTCTAGTATAGATTCTTTAATTTGCTTATTTAAAGTTGAAAAATCTTATAAATAAACCGTTTTTGCCCACTTATCTCCTCATTATCGCTCACAATCAGTCGTTTAAGCGTTTGCGCACTTGTGTAAAGAAGCAAAGAACATAGAATCCATCCAAGAGTTGTATCTTTATACTTCGATTTAAATATCTCATCAATTCAGAATATGTCGATAAGTCACCGTTACCTTGTCAGACACGTTTACGCCGTTCCGTTTCATACAAAACAGGGAGTCGGTTTCCACTACTTTTGTCTTAAATCTGTTTTACATCTTCATCAAGGAATTCCTCTCGTCGCCTTCTTGAAACGTTTTCGTCACCCACAAAAAGAGAGAGGGAGAGAAAGACTTCAGTCATAAGATAGGTTTTGATCGCAAATTAGAAAAGGTAACATCATAAAAAAAAAATTAGAAAAGGAAATATATTCTTAACAATTAACATTGCTAACAGTTCTCTTGAAGAAACATGAATCAATTAATGTGTTTTAAGTTTTTTTTTTTCACTTTTTCTAGTAGTTCTTTGTTTGTGAGATTTTCTTTACTAAATCAAAAGGTTTCATAATATATCATGAGAATAAAATATAATTAAACCATTAAACCGGTAACCTAAAACAGGATTTTCTATCGAGTCGCGACTTGTAGAGACAAAGTGCTTTTAATTGTTGATAGCTTATAGTGACTCAACAGTCTTGTGGAACAAGTAACTGTTAATAAGTAGCACCAACAATAAACCACTTCAAACTTTCTTCCACCTACTTCTCATCAAACCTCATCAAACATCAAACCCTAATTCATTTATAAATACACACACAAACTCCTTCAAAATCACTCCATCACCACTCACAATCAAACCCTAAATAAAAACACACCTCTCTCTTAAAGTAGTTGTTGTTTTCAGTTTTCAATGTAAATTTTAATTCTATATACCAAATTTAATTACAAATCTTATGAAGAATGTCAATAACCAACTTCTTTTTAAGGGTATAAAAAAAATTAATATACGTAAATAACTTAAAATGATATATTTTAAAATATAAGAAATTATCTTGATAAAAAAAATTATATTACATGAAGTCAAAATATTTGCGATTAGCCATATTGCATCAACAGAAAAATAAATAAATTAATACTACAATATTTTTAATCTTCAAATATAATGGTTCAAGCCATTGAAAGAATGATTACTTAAGCTTTTCTAACATCACAAAAATGTTATTTACTAATACAATTATTTTACCAAAAATAATTACCATCTAAAATCTTTTATTGACTAAAGATTGTTATAGCTCCGTTTGATAACAAAGTCTTAAAGAAAATTTGGACAAAAATGATATAAATTCCATGGATACATCGATGTTACCCTTCTCTTTGCTAGGTCATTGAGTTGAGTTGATCCACTCTTCTCATTCTCTCTTTTTGTTTTAACAAATCACGCTTCTCAGACAGAATATATTGCTAACCTTTTGAAATATAATGGCAGCGATGTCACTAGGGACCGTCCGAGAGAAAGAAATATCACAGACGCTCATACATACACACAAATGTTTCATTTTTCTGTGTAAATGAACGTGAATAAAACTAAATAAACGATAAACACCAAGTTTGTGAATAGTAGTTATGAATACTGAATAAACAAAAAGCACTAATTTTTGATAAACTCATGCTCATTATAAGAAAAAGTTAGGAGCAGTCGCATTTAAGTTAGATAACAAATTCAGGTTTCTACATTATTGAAATTTTAAAAACATTCAGGTTTTACACGTGCACAACTAAGGCGGTTACATATTTCCTTTTTGTATTGGTTCTTTAATAATTTCCTTATTTGGGCTTGAAGATGAAGAACTGAAACCTTATAAATTAATCCTTCTTTCCTCATTATTTCTCACAATCATTCGATTAAGCCCCCTCGCTCGTTTAAAGAACACAGACCCTATCCAAGAGTGTTATCTTTACTAGTGTTTCGTCCACGCTAGGCGTAAATTATATAATTATATCATAGTTTTATAGAAGGTTGTTAATTAATTTTATGTTTAATATTATGATATACTATAGAATAATATATTTGTATGTGATTCTTAGGTATAGTCGAGTTAAGTAAATATAAGAGGTATATATATATAAAGATGAACGAAATTTTTATATAATAATTTAAAAATAGATTAATGTATTTTATGGGTTAGTTGAACTTAAATTAAGAGTTGATACATGTTTTTGAAAATATGAAAGGTAAAATTTAACTATTTTGTATAATAATTTGATTTGTTATATTTTTTTATTTATGTGAATAGTATCTATATATATGAACTATATATTATATTAGTAACATATTGTCTAAATTTGGACATCTTACATTATAGTGTCATTTATTTTACTACAAAAAAAGAAGCATTTAACATCATTTATTTTACATCATTTAAGAAATTGATACTAAACTAAATATTTACGCGAAAATTTGGCATCACTTTTGTTAACCGACCTTAAGTTATTAAATCTTAAGCGGATGCTTTATTGTCCCACATCGACAACTTGTAGTGGGCGAGTTCTCACTTTCTTCTATATATAGTAGCACATATACGTAGGGCCAAAACTTACCAAAAAAATAAATAGTTGAAATGTTACTACGTGGTTTAATTACTTCTTTTAACCGATTATTTGGTTTGCATGTTATTATTAAATTTTGGGTTGTTAATTCCTATGACGTTAAAACAAAATTAGTTTAACATCATTTTGAAAATGATACTAAAAGTATAGATAGCATCGATTATTGAAGTGATACTAATAAAAAATAAATGATGTTAAATAACATCACTTAAAAAATTGATGCTAAATATTTTTAGCTTCACTGAATTTAGCATCACTTTTAAAAGTGATTCTATAATTCTAACATCACTTTAAAAACGACACTAGTTATCATCACTTTGAAATAATAGCAACGTTAATACGATAGTTATCATGTTAACTAGATATTTGTACAATGTGCTAATCGAACAAAGTTAACTCCTATTTTTCATGAAATAATAGTAACATTAATACGATAGTTATCATGTTAACTTGATTTTGTACAATGTGCTAATCGAGCATCATATTAGTTAGCATAGTTAACACAATTATCACGATATCATATTAGTTAGCAAAATAATTTAATTATTATCTATCAAAACTGCATTAAATAATTATAAGGGCAATATAGTCATAATTTATATGTATAATATGTATCAACCTAATTTTTGATTATTGACTATATATTTCTAATTTTACTATTATCTAAGTCCATTTACTAAATTTTCCCTTTTCTTTTTAATTTTCATATAATATGCATTTCTCTAATTATCAATTTTTAAAGATTTAGTGTGTGCATAAATGTTTTATAATTAGAAGAAACCATATGGCAATTAATAATAAATTTCTTTATTATATGAGTTCTTGATTAATTGATAAACTATTTGTTTGATAGTTTAGCTAGCTCGATCATTTGTCAATATTGGTGAATAGTGTAGAACTTTATAGTTATATGTTATTTGAAAAAAAGACTTTTCAGTTTTATGTTTCATAAAATTTTGCAAATGAGATTAAAAAACAGTGAGTAACTGTCTTCAATCATATATTGTACCTTAGGATTTGTTTCATAAGCTTTTTTATCATATGACTAATTGTTATAGTTATATATTGTACCTTAGGATTTTATTTTTAATTTCCATATAATGCATTTCTCTAGTTATCAATTTTTAAAGATTTAGTACATAGATGTTTTATAATTAGTTCATATACTCAACGAAGAAAACAAATGACAATTAATAATAAACGTCTTTATTATATAGATTCTTTATTAATTGATATAATATTTGTTTGATAGTTTAGCTAGCTCGATCATTTACCAATATTGGTGAAAAATCTCGAACTTTATAGTCATATATTATTATTATTTTTTTAAGTTTTCAGTTTTATGTCTCATGAACTTTTGCAAATGAGAATTAAGAAACGGTGAGTAACTGTCTTCAATTACCAGTTGTTTAGTTAGGCTTTTACGTCGGTTTCTCCACAATGTCTGATTACAACAAACAATATGAAATTCTATATCAGTAACTTGAGATCTGTTATAAGATCAAATAGGTACAATTTTTAAATTATTTTTCTCTAGAAAAAAGATAACCGAGTCACTACTCAAGTTTTACTTTTGGCGAGAAAGATGTTCTCCAACTAAGGGTGGGCATATTATCGGTTATATTTGATTCGATTCGTTATTTGCTACGATTCGATCCGAAAAATCCAGATATCCGTAACGATTCAAAACAAAGCAAATATTAAAATATAGTATCCGTCTAAAACAAATCAAATCGCAAATACTAATTTCTGAAAGTTCGGATATCCGCTCCGATCCATAGATTACATATATACATATTAATATCATAAATTATTAATGTTTTTATATAGTTTAATTATCTTATTAACAAATAAAAAGAATATATATGAAAAAATACATATAATAATTTTAAAGTAAGTAATAAACATCTACAATAGTTATCAAATATTTGAAAATAAATTAGAAAAGTTTATATTAGAGTTTTAATCAATTAATATTTTTTCAGAATATAAAACATGATTTTTCTTTTTCTACCGTTATAATTTATTATTTATATCTATTTTCTGAAATAAAAATAGTTATTTCACTTATTTTAATTGATAGTTCATATTTTAAAAAAGAAACGCATGTATTTTCACCTTTTGCTTGTATTGAATGAAACAAATTTAATATTCATAAGTATCCATAAATATCCGCAAATATTTGTAAATTTTTTGGATATCCGTATTTTCGTATATCCGTATTTTTTGGAGCAAAGCAAATCACAAAATCAGATATCCGGTAAAAACGGAGCAAACCACAAATACTCAAAATTTTCCGGATATCCGCTCCGCGCCCAGACCTATCTCCAGCTCCAGCATTACTATATCTGATTGCTCGACTCACATTATAAATATAAATGCAAAACAGTTGTAAGATTGTATTTTTATGTTGCTTAGAGCTGTGTATTATTTATACCCTATATGGCTCATCGCTATGTCTTTCTTTGTAATCTTCCTGACTCGACGATCTGCCTTTCTTGTCGCGCGAGGATTTCTCATCGGCCAACTTGGCCTTGGCCTTGGCTGCTCGATCCTCCTCGACTCTGATGTATCCGGATGCCTTGTGTAAAGCATCTTCGAGGGTTTTAGTTTTTCCTGTCTTCAATCGTTCACAAAACGATGAATCGTCCTTCAAATTCTTGATAAGAATGTTAAAACATAGTTCATCCGACAGACTGCACTGGGAGACGATCGATCGGAATCGATCGATAAAATCGCGCAGCGGTTCCGTATCGCCCTGGACGCATGCCCATAGATCGAGCGCTGTGGACTCCGTGTCGATGTAAATCGAATAATGCTTCAGAAACCGAGCTGTGAGCTCCTTGAAGCTGTCGATGGAGTTCTTGGGAAGCTGTGAGAACCAGGTGAGGGCGCTTCCGGAGAGTGTCTCCACGAAGTACTGACAGAGCATGCTTCCCGTTCCTCATCGGTGAAGCGAGCACGTCTCATGACGGCGTTGAACGCGGTCAGATGTCGCTTCGGGTCTGTTGTACCGGTGTAGCTTGGCGGTAGCTTCATCCGTCCTACGTCCTTGAGAGGAGCGCTGGTGATGGCTGATGTGAACGGGGTCTGCTGGGTCTCCTGGAGGATCTTGTCCAATTCTGGTGCTGAGGTTGTTGCCTTGTGGATCTTGCTGTGAATATCGTCAAGGCGTTGGTGGAGAAGATCGAGCTCCGAGGTTTTCGTCGGGTCGGTACCTGCGGTATTGCGCGATGAACGAGCGTTCGAGCCCTCTGCATGTGCTCTCTGCAGGTCGTCTGTCGGTGTCGTGCCGAACAGGTTGTTCACCAGCCTGGTCGTGTCTGTGTTGCGGATCGGAGGGCGGGGAGGGGTGATCAGATCGGTCTGCTCTTGAGTATGAACTCTAGAGTTGAGAAGCCGATCTAGGTCCTCTCTGTAGGCTATCTGCTCGGCACGGAGAGATTCGAAACGAGCATCCATCCCTTGCTGTAGCTGCTCTGCGACCGACCTGATGATGGTGGCCATGTCGATGGGAGGTGGCTGTGGTAGGCTGGTCGTGTTTGAGCCACCTGTCTGACCGACCTGATCTGTCTCGACGTTCCGCGTGGTAGTTGTGTTGTCCTGATCGGTCTGGTGGCCCATCGGAAGTCCGGTGGCTGGGTCGACGACCAGATCCTGGGTGTTTCTCGTCGGATCGGAGGCTCCGGTGAGGTCGGTAGTGTTGACCGGTGTTTCAACCATCTTCGAACTTCCTTCTAAGTCAAAGATTGCTCTTTTAGTCCCCACATACGGCGCCAACTGTAAAAACCCAAATTCGAGCTATGAAAGAACTAGGGTTTGGAAGGTTTTAAAGAGATCTTTTATTAGAAGAAGCCGGAGCTTGATTGAATACAACGGTGTTTAGGTCGTCGGAATGAGAACGCCGATCTAAAACTCTTAAAGAAAGTTAACCAAAAACTAGAACAACCTGATTGCTTGGTTTGTTCTAGGTCTTAACTAATGATTTTTTATATCCATTGAGAAGTCGAGGACTTCCTATATTTATACCCGATCAGGTCGGTCTTCATCCTGTTCGGAATAGGAAACTCTCGTCGGCAAGGAGTTTCCTTTTTCTCCGGGTCGCTTGATAAATGGAAGTTTTCCTTTTATGTTGCCGACCTGGGAATTGTTAGATGGGCCGACTAAAATTCATATCGGGCTTGTTAGAGACGGTACGAATCTCATCTCTAACACGCTCCGCGCCCAGACCTATCTCTAGCTCCAGCATTACTATGTCTGATTGCTCGACTCACATTATAAATATAAATGCAAAACAGTTGTAAGATTGTATTTTTATGTTGCTTAGAGCTGTGTATTATTTATACCCTATATTGCTCATCGCTATGTCTTTTTTTGTTTTTTTTTGACATCCTCATTGCTATGCATTTTGGATTTCACTTATTTGTGGTTCACTTATATAAGCTTTATTGTTCATTGCCAATTTGGTTGTCATTAATCAAAGAGTAAAGTTTGTGTTTAGTAACGACTGATTCTGTTTCTGGTGAGTTAGAGGCGAGAAGATTGGAAATCGAGAAGACGATAGCTCCATGAAATGAGTTTTTGTTTGAGCTTTATAATTAAGTTTCAGTATAATTCGTTTTTAATTTTTTTTTTGCTTCATTTTTTTTTTAAGAATTTAGTAATTACGGAAGTTTTTTAGTAGTCAGAATTTGAAAAAATTTTGATTAATAAATCTTTCCTTTTTATATAAAGAAGATTTTCCGATCAAATCTGCTCATCAAGATATGTCGACTGTGTTAACACAGCATAGCCGTGCCCACGTTGTGAAAAAAGAAATATTTGCTTAGGGCAGCAAATTTTTGTTGTTATTATAGGGCATCAATTTTTTTTAAAAAAAATATATATATATTCCATCTTTATTACTACTAATTATATTATATTAATATCAATTACTAAATATTAAAATAGTTTTGCATGTATGATATGGATTTAGCATCTGCTTTATAAGTAAGTTATATATGAGTTTAGAAATTTACAATACCTTTAAGTAACTATATAAAAATAGAAACAATTATTAATATTAAGAAATTAGGATAGGAAAATAATTTAGGATTATTATAGAAACATTTTTTAACAATTTATTAACTAACATTGAAAGTTAATTAATAAATTTTCAATGTTTTTAACAACTAGTTAGAGTTAAAATATATATATTTCTATTTTTAATAATTTTATTATTTAATTAAATACTGTAAAATATATTTCTTCTGTTCTAAAAAGTTTGATTTTTTAGATGTTTTACAGTTATTAAAAAACAATTATTATTTACTTTCTAAGTTAATTTTTATTTTTTTCAATTTAATTTTGATTTCTTATTATTTTTTACCCAAAAATTTATTATTAATTGTTTTTGAAAAATGGAATACGTTAAATATAATCTAAAAAATCAATTTTTTAAAAGACAAAAATAAATCACTAAATATCATATTTTTTTGGGAATGGAAAAAATATTTGTTTTTGTCACACGTGCACGACTAAGGCGGTTACATATATTTCCTTTTTTTGTATTGGTTCTTTAATTTCCTTATTTGGACGTGAAGATGAGAACTGAAACCCTTATAAATTAAACCCTCTCTCCACATAATTTCTCACAATCATTCGATTAAGCTCTCACTCGTTTAAAGAATCAGACCCTATCCAAAAGTCCATCTTTATATTCTCCGATCAAAACTCGCATCAAGATATGTCGATTGTGTTAACACAGCGTTTCCTCGCCAGAGACGTTTTTGCCGTTCCGTTTCTTACGAATCACGGCATCCGTTTCCACTACTTCTCTCGTGTCTCTGTCTTACATGTTCCTCAAAAGGTTCCTGTCTCGGCCTTGAAGCGTTTCTCTAAACCACAAGAAGTTCCTATCAAACCCTCAAAGCCGTCGCAATCTAAACCGGTTCCGGTTCATGAGAAGCCGGTTCAAGCTCCGTGCACCACGATCAAGACTGTGCCGCCGCAGTTTCAAGAAGGAGCATTGTTTGCTGATTCAGTCACGATGGGTGGTGCTCCGTCGCCGAGACACTTGCCGATTCCGATGTTTTACGTAAGAGAGAAGATGAAGGCTTATCGCTTGAATTGAGATATAGAATAATACGACGAATCTTTTAAGAAGCTTTTTGTTTAGTTTTTGTTAAGCAGTTCTTATCTTTGTTAAGTGGCAAATCATTGTATCTATTTTCAGTATTTCTTAGTAGCCATTAATCTTCAATGATAATGTTTGCGATTATCAAAATATGTTCATAAAAAAACCCATCAATCGAATTTTAATTAATTTAGACATTACACAATTGTAGTTTCAAAAATCAATGTAGCTAACTAATAACTCTAATTAAGTTAACTTATAACTGTAAATTGAGGATATGAGAGGTAACAAAAATCAAATTAGACGGTATCTTTAGTACTGTTCTTCTACATTAAATCTTTATCAGGATATCACCTGCTTCTTCAGCTTAAAAGGCAAATAGATTAATTAAGATTATGAGAGATTTTATTTTTGAAAAATCTATTTGAAGAATATTGAAATCTATAAATACCAGTCTCGCGTAATAAGGTAAACATGTTTCAGGTAGGTTTAGGGGAAGAAAAAAAAAGAGACTTCAGACATAAGTTAGGTTTTAATCGCAAATTAGAAAAGGAAACATATGACAAACGCGTATGTACATGTTCTTAACAATTAACATTATTAACAGTTCTCGTGAAGAAACAAGAACCAAATATTAAGTTTTCTCACTTTTTCTAGTAGTTCTTTGTTTCTGGAATTTTCTTTACCAAATCAAAAGGTTTCGTAATATTTAATGAGAATAAAATATAATAAAACCATTAAACCGGTAACCTAAAACAAGATTTTCTATCGAGTCGAAATTAGAAACTCTGACTTGTAGGCTGGGTTTGGTGAGCAGAGATAGAGACAAGGTGCTTTTAGTTGTTGATAGCTTCTAGTGACTCAACATTCTTGTGGAACAAGTAACTGTTAATAAGTAGCACCAACAATAAACCACTTCAAACTTTCTTCCACCTACTTCTCATCAAACCTCATCAAACATCAAACCCTAATTCATTTATAAATACACCACAAACTCCTTCACAATCACTCCATCACCACTCACAATCAAACCCATAGATAAAAACACACCCCCCCCCCCCCCTCTCTCTCTAGTAATAACTCAAACCCTAAATCCTCAAAATGGCTCACTGGTTATTATCTCTGGTCATTGCACTGACATTCACAAGCTTCTTCACCGGTCTCTCAGCGCGTCGCCATCTTCTCCAGTCAACACCACCAGCGACTCAGCCACCGGTTACAACGTTCCCACCACTTCCCAAAACCACAATGCCACCGTTGCCTCCTTCTCTTCCTCAACCAACTCTTCCTCAGCCAACTCTTCCTCAGCCAACTCTTCCTCAACCAACTCTTCCTCAGCCCACGGCGTTTCCACCATTACCGAGCACACAGATGCCTACTTTGCCTAACCCAACACAGCCCATTAACATCCCAAACTTCCCGCAAATCAACATTCCTAATTTCCCAATTAACATCCCAAACAACTTCCCATTCAATCTCCCCACCAGCATCCCTACCATCCCTTTCTTCACTCCACCACCTTCCAAATGAGAAGCTAAGCTCTTTAGCACATCACCAATCTTTGTATTCACACACTTTGCGCATGCTTGTAATGTGATCTTATTCTTTTGCTGTTGTTTGATGTTGTATTTGTTGTTTGATGTTGTGTTTCTTGTTGTTGTTGTTGTTTAATATTGTTTCTGCCGCGATTCAGTTGCTTTTGTAATACATATATCTATATATACTTATATAAAGTTCCTGATATGTTTGCCTATAAACAGTATACTAATAAACAACACACATTCCATGAGATATTCTTAATAAATAAAAAATTAAGAAGTGCTTGTAAGCTTGTTGCTTCTAGGTTGGCAAATTATAAACAGTGTAAAATGATGATGTGTTAGCAAATTAACAAGGGAGATAACAATACCATCATCACAAGCCACAACACAAAATTTAAGGAAGAGTAACAACAGGACTCGTCGCCCGCGTTAAGGCCCAATATGAAATATGATATAAAGGCCCATTATAACCTTTATAAACGTTTGTATTATTTCTCATTGAGAGAGCGGCGGGATTCGTGATTGTGTTGCTTTTGTGGACTTTTGCGTTTTCTGCGTTTTGGAATATTATATTAGAGACTTTTTATTTCCGCCCGAGAAAACTTCTTCTAAATACAAAAAGTCAACAGTCAACATTTGGAGCCACTCCGACATCCTCGGAGACACGTGCGAGTTTGTAATAAAGATTTAAAACGGCTTTTACTTGGCGGGAGAGGTGTACAAAGTCATTAGTCAACTCTTTTAAGACCCTTTTTGGCCCAAATGTCCTCTTCGGGCCAGACGGAGTTCATTTAATCATATTTCAATCGTGATTAGCTAAACGTATATTTTGTTTTTTTTCCGTAATTGTTAAAAAGTCAATGATGGTATAATTGATTTCGCGCCTTAGTACAAGACACGACGAAAACAGTAATTTACTAATTAAATACTCCATTTTTATTCATCTGAACCCATTTGTGTGTTCTTTTCTGTTAACAAGGTGAAATGCGCATATATTACAAAAATATATATTCAATTTAATTTCAGAAGTAAAAGATTAAGTGCCTTGAAGTGCCTATCCATAAAGAAAATTGGAGGTCATCATGATTCTTCAAACCAAAATTTTAGATTGGGATCAAATTAAAAAGCTTTTTTAGTAGTAGTTCTCCCTCCAAAAGTCAAGTCGGATCAAATAATTTCTTTGTTGTAAGAAAATTCTTGGTCAACCAAATTAATTACCCCATTGGTTCTATGGTTTGTAATCTTGCACCAATTTATCCACAGCAGTTGAAATATTAACAATAAGCTTGAAAGTTAATCCGATTGTAATTGATTTGACAAAGTTGTTAGAGTATTAAATTAGACAAAAGGAAAAAAAACACAACCAGATTTCTTTCTTTATGTTCATCCCTTTCAAAATTTTATAGGTCAAACATGTCAATTGAACATTTTTCTCAATCGTTTGTGGAGAAATACAATCGACTTTTGGTTCTTAAATAATTTTTTTTTTGTAGAAGTTGCAATGCATAGATCATAACTTCTAGAAATAGAGAAATTACATCAACTATATCACGAGAAAAAATATAAAAACTTTGTGCTAATTTATTTCTCTTTGTATCCCACCTAATTTTATCTCTTTAATTTATGATAATCATTATTTATCACCGGATTATATTTTAATTCCATTTAGTCCACGAGTGTGTACGGAAGACATTTATAATAATATCGAGAATAATTCATTTTTATAATAATACTACTATTATTATAACCTTTTGAGTTAACTAGGTATATAACTCGCGCTACGCGCGAGTCTGTATTAATATTTTGATTTATTTTTTAGCTACTATCTTTAAAATTATTAAAAATATAATATATTTATAGAAATTTTCGTTTATATAAGAAAAATTAATATATAATATGTAATTTATCATATTTTATTTATGAACTTAAAAAAATTATTAGGTAAAATAATAACAATGACACCTATCAAATTATCTAACTTTGACGTGTATATATATTTGATTTAGAGAAATATAATTTTGCTAAGATTTTAGTATTATTTTCTGTTTTTCATAGAATTTCTATAGTTCTTTTTTTAAGGTTTATGTGTTAAAATATTTAGTTTTTTTATTGAAAGTCTTATTGATGTTGTGTACCACTGCATATATAATTCATAATTCATGTTGATTCGCATTTAATTTTGTTAAGAAGCTCTAATGATCATGCAAAACCATTTGTTTATTCTCCATCATGTCTTCTAAGAGTTTTATGTTATATTTTTATTCAGTTTTCATTATTTAATTGTTAAATCGAGTTATTGTAGATTTTTTAAATTAATAATTGATAATAATTATTTTTCTTATACATGTATTGTTAATTGTTAACTTTTTTATTTAATTTTTAAATTTTTAAACCATATCAACAGTTTCTGATTTTATAAATATGTTAATTTGGATCAATCAGATTGAATTTACTTTTTTTGTTAGACATAATTTGTTAAATTAAATTTTTATGTTTTATTATACTTAATAATTTTTGGTTTGATTTAAAGCTGATAAGTACCAATTAAATCAATTTTTTCTATCATAATCATACTTAAAATTTTTATTTAATGAATATGCTGATGTGGACCAATCAGATCGAGTTTCTTAATCCCATGTGGACGTCCTCAATGCACTATGCCATAAACTTTTATATATTATACTAGGTATATAATTCGCGCTACGCGCGAGTCTGTATAATTATTTTAGTTTATTTTTTTAGTTAATATCTTTAAATTCATTATAAATTATATATATTTATAGAAATTTTTATTTATATAAGAGAATTTATTATATAATATGTTATTTATCCTATTTTTATTTATAAATGTTAAAAACTATTAGGTAAAATAATAACAATGTCACCTATCGAATTATCAACCTTTGACGTACATATACATTTGATTTAGAGAAATATAATTTTGCTAAGATTTTGGTATTAGTTTTTGTTTTCCATAGAATTTCTATAGTTCTTTTTTCTTGAAGGTTTATGTGTTCAAATATTTAGTTTTTTTTATTAAAAGTCTTATTGATGTTGTGTATATATAATCTATTATTCATGTTGATTCACATTTAATTTTGTTAGGAAGCTGTAATGATCATGCAAAACCATTTTTTCTTTCTTCATCATGTCTTCCAAAAGTTTTATGTTATAATTTTATTCAGTTTTCATTGTTTTAATTGTTAAATCGAGTTGTTGTAGATTTTTTTAAATTGATAATTGACAATGGTTACTTTTTTTTATACATGTGTTGTTAATTGTTAATTTTTTATTTAACTTTTAAAATATTAAACTATATTAACATTTTCTGATTTAATAAATATGTTGATTTAGATCAATCAGATTGAATTTACCTGTTTTGTTGCACATAATTTGTTAAATTAACTTTTAATATTTTAATCATACTTAATAATTTTGGTTTGATTTAAAAGCTGATGTAAACCAATTAAATCAAGTTTTTTCGTCCTAATCATACTTAACATTTTTTATTTAATGAATATGCTGATGTGGACCAATCAAATCGAGTTTTTTAATCTCATGTGGACACACTCAATGCATTATGCCATCAACTTTTATATATTATACGATGATTTAAGAGCGAAATGTCAAAAGGCCATTTGAATTGTAGCTGGACCATCTAGTGAAGACCCCCGCGCGTGGCCTGCGCACGCCAACCAGCTTACACAACCATCCCAGGTACCAGAGGCCATTTTAAATAATTATTTTTTGTAAACTTAATTTTATAAATGTCTACGTTATATATGCATACACACAACACACATCATGTATGTGAGTGTCACTATTCCCGTATACATGTGGCATGTTTGGATAACTGTGTCCACCAATTATAAAATGATCATAAACTAAAAAATATATTATACTTGTGACTTGTGGCTTTTTCTTAGCGGTTTTAACAAGTGTTATTGATGACTTGGTGAAAATATACAGAGAGTATCGGTTTCAATCTGTTATTGTTCTGTTTTGATAATCGTGATTATACACAACATAATAATATGACAAAGGCAAGTATGCTCCAACTCAATTATTTTCAACTTTCTGTATGTAACAAAAGAAGTTACTCATGTGAGTGTAGTTCTTAAATAGTTAGTTCATTGATTTTTGTAATGTTTAAAGCGTTACATCGTTTTTAACAGATTAAACAAAAGTGAAAGCGACGACAAACAAAAAAACGTGAAATTGTTCGGGACCCAAGAGAGGGCATTTGAATACATTCAATTATTTTCTAAAACGTATAACAACAATATATTAACACTGCATGAGCTTTGTACTTTTGTATACGAGTACAAAAAAAAACAAATAAAAAAAAACGTGGAATATTTTTTTTTTTTTTGGGCAAATAACGTGGAATATATTTTCATGAATGCAATAAGAGCCGTCAATGGCTTCTTGAGTGAGAGGTTGTAAGAAGAATCTTTGAGATCACTATTGGATGGCTCTCAGACTTCTGAGGCTCTGACACTCAAATTTTACCATATGGTTTCTGATACCATATATTATAATTCTGTATAGATTAAATTAAAAAAAAAAACAATGCATGTTGTCAAGAAATAAATAAAAAAGAAGCGAACAATGCATTTCTAGACCTGTATATATTCCTATATGCTTTTACTTTCTTTTTTCACTGCTAATATAGTAATATGCTTTGTACCTAAATAAATCTTAATTTAGTGCGTAAAAGAATTGTTATGTGACCTAATATTTTTAGACCACAACCATTTATTGATTGTTAGTTAAATCTTTTATTGATTTATGATCATATAATTGTATATGAAATAAAGGAATAGTGAAAAACATTTAGATTAAGAAAAGAAGCATGAAATATTGTAACATATTTGTATGTGAAACCAGTATTTTCTAAATATTAAAATTTGTTAAGAAATTAACAATCTGCTAACGTATAACTCAAAAAGAGAATTAAACGGCAGAGAATAGTTCTGAAAAGGTTGA